ACACTCACATGCAATTAAGTCAATATTATGTGAGCAGGGTAAGCTTAAGAGACTTAGGTTTTGTTTGGATAACATAAGTCCTTATACCATTACACAAAACTCAACCTTTCATCACTGTTATGATACCATTTATATTGATGAAAAGTGGTTCAACATAGCAAAAACCTTAACCACTTTCTACACGCTACCAGATGAAATTGATCCTTATAAAACATTACAGTCCAAGAGTAATGTTCCAAAGATTATGTTCCTAGCAGATGTTGGTAAGACAGGGTTTAGTGAAGATGGTTCATGTTTCTAAGATGGAAAAATTAGTGTTTTCTCATTCACTTTTGAGGAAGATGCCCAAAGATCAAGCAAAGACAGAACACTTGAAACACTAAAGACAAAGCCCATACCAAAAATCATAAGAGAAGTGATATTGACCAAACTTCTTCCAATCATAAATGAATAGTGGTCGGGCCTACTAGATATGTGGTAATTCATTAAGACAATCCAAAGCCACATGTATGCGTCACATGTAACGCATTGAAATATACCCTAAAAATTAATAATGAATTTTTAATAAATCATAATTTTAATTTTGATTTAATAAAATTAAAATGGAAACGTCAGTACTTAAATAAGTTATTTATAAAGTTATCTTCTATAAATAAGTTTATATTCGAGTTGGAGGTCTTGATGAGACGAGTTCAGCGGTATATTCCTCGTGTGAATCCGAGTTACGAATCTCAGTGCTTTGACGCCCCAAAATTTAAGAAGATAATAAAGTAAAAGAATAAAATACAAGTATGTCGTAGAGACAATATTATACACACACATAGACCTGGCAAACCAGAACGGGAACCGATTACCCGAACCGTAATATCCGAAACCGAAACCGAAATGATCCGAAAAATGAAGATCCGATCTATAACTGAAAACCTGAAATGATCCGAATCGAACCAAAACCGAACTAAATAATTCATATCCGATTTAAATCCGAAACCGATTAGATCCGAAACCGATAATATCTGAACCGATTAAACCCGGAACCGATTAGATCCGAAACCGATACTACCCGAAACCGATAAAACCCGAAATCGGTTTGATCTGAAACTGATAATATCCTAACCCAATTAGAACTAAAACCGATAAATTCGGAATTGTGTTTGCCTTTCAATAAGCATATTATATTTCTAAAATTTTACTTTTATTTTACCACTTGAACTAATTACATTACTTGCTCATTCCCTCATAAATGGATTATATGATGAATTGTATGGAATAACTAGATTTTAACCTAATTTCATTCAATTACAATAATTTTTATTGGTTTGAGAGTTAATTTGATTAGTTTCAAACCAATTCACTCAATATTAGTCAATAACATTAGATGTTAGTATTAACATTTTAAAAAGACTCTCTAGCGGCAGCATTTAGTGTTATCATTTTCAAATTTGATCTACACCGGCCATTACATTTAGGTGTAAAATTAATTATATTTGACCCTATTAAATTTAATTTTATCTAATTTCAACCAAATACACTCAAATAATTTATAAATTTTGCACTCACTTGAATAAAATTCACTTAGTTTCATCCAATTTAACTCAATTTTTACCAAATTGTACTCAAATGGAACATAACACTATTTGAATTTATCTTTTATCTTTTCATTTATAAACATAAATATATTAGTAGATGTGAGAAAAATTTGATATATCAGACCTAAATTTTAAAATCAATTTAATTATATTAAATTTATATCACAATTAAATATATAATTTTTCATAATTTGTAGTCCGAATTTGTAAAATATGACTAAAGAGTCAAAGAGGAAAGATTATTTAGGGTATAGATAATATAATTAGAAAAAATATAAAATAATATGAGGTATTCAATTGATGATAGATTGATAAATGTGATAAACCATAAAAAAAGACATGGATAATTAAATTTAAATTAGAAAATAATATATATCCAAAATATATTTGATCCGAAACTGAAATATATCCGAACCGAACTAGATCCGAAACCGAAATATATCCGATTCAAATGGTATCCGAACCGAAATTTATCCGAACCCATTTATAACCGAACCGTATCAGAACCGACTCAAAACCGAACTGAACTGAAAAATGTGTAGAACCGGATCAAATCCGAACCGAAATTAAACCGATCCGATCCGAACCGAACCGATTAGAACATATATCCGAACCGAAAAATCCAACCCGAAACCGATCCGGTTGACCCGATTGCCACCTCTACACACACACACACATACATACATACATACATACATACATACATACCTACATACATACATACATACATACATACATACATACATACATACATACATACATATATATATATATATATATATATATATATATATATATATATATATATATATATATATATATATATATAGGGGGCGGTTCAGGTGAGAATGCACCTTGGTGAAAGAAATAAGAATAAAATCTAGCCTTTGGATCTGATGCATCGTGCGGCTCAGATTGCATCCTGCACTCAGATTTTGAGATAGTGCATTTTTAAAGGATTTTGGTGCATTTCGACATGATGCATTTTCAAATCATTTTGGTGCACCTCATTTTGATGCAATCCTAACCCTTAGATCTCACAATCTAAAGCACCAGATTCATTCTTATTTCTTTCATAAGATTGCATTCTCACCTGATCCAAAATCTATATATATATATATATATATATGGGATTGACTCCAGTGAGATGACATGTTTCGGTGAGATGACGCTTTCGGTCAGATGACAACGTATTGCTCATTCTGAATCAATGTAGCTCTCATTCTTAAACAGCGTAGGATTCATTCTCACACAACTGTTCAGCACAATGTAGTTTTCATTCCAAGCCAGCGAGACAACAACATAGCGTTCATTTGGAATCCACGTAGTGTTCATTCTAAGACATAGTAGTGTTGATTTTCACACATTTGTTCATTATAAACGTAGTACTCATTCTGAAAGAACCTAGTACTCATTCACAGTCTGCTCAGTGCAGTGTTCATTCTGAATTAAGGTGGTGCTCATTCTGATGCATGTCATCTGACCGAAAGTGTCATCTGATTAAAAGATGTCATCTGACTGGAGTCAATCCCTATATATATATATATATATATATATATATATATATATATATATATATATATATATATATATATATATATATATATATATATATATATATATATATATATATATATATATATATATATATATATATATATATATATATATATATATATATATATATATATATATATATATATATATATATATATATATTAAATTTTGTATTTTGGATAGGTCTTTTGAAAAGATGACCAATCCAAAATATAGTTTGTCAAGTTTGAAATTATGTGTCAAAAAATTATGAGTAAAATAAATTTTACTCTTCAATTAACAAATACAAGAATTTAATAATATAATACTCTTGGGGGAAATGGCCACATGCCACAATCAATTTATCTTCTTCTTCCTTCAACCAAGAACACCGAGCGCAAGGGGAGTTTGCCAGAATTTCTACAAGGCTTCAATTTGAGGAAGGGCCGGCCCAAGGGTGGGCCGAGCAGGCCAACCGGACCCGGCCCAATGTTATAAGGGGCACAATTTTTTAATATTTTGCATAATATATATACAAATTTCGTACTCCTCTTATATTAAAAATAGAATACCCAAATTGAGTGGAATGAGGTTCGAACCTAGGCAGATAAGGTGTATAGAGATGCTCCATCCACTTGAGCTACTAATATGTTGTTAAACATCCCACGCAATACAATATATATTTATTGTATTGATTATAACTAAACTTTCAATTAACTAGAAAAAGAAACACAAGTAGTATCTAATATATTTGTTTAGTAAACTTATAAAACAAGTTTTAAAAATAAATAAAAAAAATTATTTATGTTTTATTTTAGATTAATATGAATCCTTATACCTAAAAAATATTTTTTTCAAAAAAAACTAAAATTTTATCATCAATAAAAATTAAGAATATTTAGTAATTATACCTTAATATATTAAATAATTATTTTATTCTTCTTTTTCTCATTCCAATCAACTACTCCGTACATTTAAATGTAAATTGCTACATACACATTGCAGAATATTATATAAAAATACATTACCTAGTCTTTACTTTTTTTAAAATATGACTATTGTCTTACTATTTAAGTTTTATTAGATACTCATTAACTATATTTGATAGTAATAAAAATTAATACAAATAGTAAATTGAAAAACTATGACGACATATGTAAAATGATATTGAATATTAAATGGAAGAGTGAAAAAACAAAAATATAATATCTAATACTATAATATAAAATATTATTCTTTTAATTATAGTTAACCGAACCATTGACCCTCGAATTGACTGGTTGAATCTTGACCTACTAGCTCGCCTGATTCAATGTCTGATCCAATTTTCAAGATATTGGTTTGGAAAAGTAAGTAGAAATAAACCTTTTGCTATAATTCTGTATGTGATTTATTTATTTTGTTACATAGTATTATAGTATTATGTTAATGTTTATTTAAATATGATTAGTTTATATACTTTAATTCGGTAAGATATTAGGAATAAGACCTTTAAGGCCTCTTTTTTTGTTTTGGCCCAGGCCTTTGAGTTCTTGGGAACGGCCCTGATTTGAGATCTCTTTGTCGAATTAATCGAGGTGTGTCGTGGTTTATCTCTCATTAGGGTTGATTTATAGATTAGTATTCATAATTGAAAAAGAGAGAAAAACTCTCCCTCTTCCGTTTCTGTTTGCTAGTCAGTGCAATATAATTTCACAACGAAGAACAATTTGATGACGAAAGCGGGGATGAAGCACTTCTTTTTAGTTAGAACAATGTTGACAAAGGGGGCAAACATAGATGCGTTCAGAAAATATTTGACGCGCATGAATTTAAGTGGAATAATGAGAAGAAAATATGTGCATGAACTTCAAAAAACTGAAAAAAGTACGAACGAAACAAGCTCAACTAAAGCTCAAGAGTCAAGATGAACAAAACCCAGAGTTGCAAATGAACCCCATCAAACCAAACACAATCATTGGTAATACAAAGGAATTGTAATCCGAGATAAATGCGACTGGCATAACAAACATACGTACTCCGTATTTTGAGCTCAATCGATAAAATGAAGAGCGGCGATTTGAGGGCACATGAGACATGGCATTTTTAACTTGTCAACATCTTCACTTCAAATGATTTATCGTCATCTTCCTCCTTCACCTCAGTGTTGGTCATTTGTTGAGGGCACATGATGTTCTTAACCACGGAGAAGAAAAAATCAAAATCGGATTTCATTTTAAAGCACGATGCTCCAATCCACTTCTCTGCAACACTGGTAGGCACATTGTCCAGGCTATCCCGTTCATATTCTTCAATGGCGGGGCGAATTTCATCATACAAGGAATTGAGTGTTGAATTCGCCTGATTTCTCATTTCCTGCATGAAATTTATTGTAGCTTCACAGGGTCAGTTAAAGAAGCTTTCCGAGTAAACCACCATAAAAAATGAATTCATTTTTTGGTTCCACATAAAATAGATATTATTACACCAACACGCCATTAATTACAATATGGGATGATTGTCCCTCCAAATGACTACCCACGGATAATCCAGAATTACTAAACCTGGCCAAATTAGTACTCCTGCCATCCTATAAAACGAGTCCTTAGCCATAAACGTACAACCTTTTTATTTAAGCAATGTGCATCAGATATCATCAAATATAGCTATACTTTTAATGGTTTTTGTTGGTAAAACTAAATTTAATACATTCAACTTGTGTGAGATACAGAGTATTTTTTTAAATATGAACATTTAATATGATGGGAACTAGCTTAGTTTGTCCAAACTCCAAACTAGATTTTTTAAGGACAATAAATATGTTCAGATATAAGTCCTTTAATGGGGCAATTAAAAAACAGAATGACATGAGGATATTTTCAGTCATGCCAAAGCATACCCTAAGCAGTTACGCCTATAATAGATATAGTGAAATACACAATTGCCTGCCTCGGATGCCCTACCACAGGCACTTGCTGACAGCAAGAATTAAACCATTTTGAGCAATATATACACCCAGTATGAACCCAATCAAGAATCAACTCCATTGGCAAGCTATGTATTTGGGTATATTTGTTGCTAGTGTGTACAGTTTTTATCCACGACTTGGCATCGCCCTCTCAATGAAATAAATAATCTCATAGAAGAATAACCATCAAAACATAATTCACACATACCTCATACTTCATAATTTCTTCCATTGATTCCTTGGATGGAAACAGTTTAGCAATATTTTCGGACGTTACTTGTTTTCGTCCAGAAGACTTGGCCTTTTGTTTGAGGGAATGTTTCACTGTGTTCTTTATTGGACCAACTCCAGCAGTATTATTCCGACGAGGTATACATCCGTCTTGCAAATCAGTAGGATACAGTTCTTTCCCTGGTACAACATCATCCACGGGATCCAAGGAAACTCTTGGCTCTGAGATATGTTCGTATTCTTCTTTAAAACTAACCATTCCACTTTCAGGGTAGACTTTACTCTCACTGTCCATTGGTTTAGATTCACAATCAGTTTGAATTCTGGCTTTCTTGATAAGATTTTCATCCTCTCCAGAGTCATACAGGGGAATTTCATCAACTGGGTATCTGCACAAAGACAATGACATCACAACACAATAACACATTACAGAGCAATACTTTTCTACAAACTCAAATAGGCTTGGATACCTGGACATATACTAGTAAACTATCATTATCTAAATCATGCACATTGACATGAGAGTTAGTTTTGTTCAAAAGATTAGGCAAAATGGACCTAATATTCAATCTGATGTGAATGTGTCTGAGTCTATGGGAAGCAAAAAGGGGTGCAAGCAAAGTCTTCATAATATTCGTAATAGTTTCCAATTAGTAATATTTGCAATGGTTTCCTATTAATAAGTGGACTGCAACCGAGCGAAAAACCATTAACAAGGGTTAATAATTCAAAGTTTATAATGAAAGTATTGAGATTAGTACGGGAAGCTACTGTATATAGTTTCTAATAATAACAGTTGTATCAATTCGTAATAGTACTTAGGTGGGCTCAATGCTCTTTGTGTCTGTGTAAGCCTCAAGGCTCTACACGTTGGTAGCTCTGACAATGTATCATCAGGTGCCTCTATGATCCTAAGCTTTCCTCCTACGGTCTAATCTGCTTAAGAATTGACACAAGAGAAGACCGTGCTACACATTTCTCACAGGAGTAAAAGCAATAAAGTGCTTTTTAAAGTTCATAAATGATAATTCCAATTATTGCAATAATAATGGAAGGAATTATGGTTTTACAGTTGTGGCATATGCTCTTTCTACATTAAACATCATTCATGAGCAAATGTACTCGAGTACTCGATTCCAAATTATGGAATTATATGATTATCATGGATTACTTTCCATTGGCATCTCATATATGAAACCATTACATATCCTGAATTCCTGATATCTGCATAGGTTAAAGGCTACCGATACTGATATACTGTGATGAAAATCTGGAGCAAGCAAAAAAAAGTAAGGCACAACGAGAACTACCTGTCATCTCCCTCTTCCCACACATGGTTATATTCCTGCATCACGATAGTAGGGATTGTAAGGGCAAGGAAATTGCTATAAAATATTCAAATTTTAAAAAAGAAACTACAATTTTCAAAATGCAGGTCTTCACCAGGAAACCATGAGACTTTCCGCCAAGAAATATTGAGCACTTTGGCGCTCCACAGAGACAGCGGACGGTAGCACCGCCATACCATTCAAAGTTGTAGTTATATGTGAGCTCAATTCCTATGGAAATATCTTGCTTGGCAAAAATACCAACCCTTGTTTCTCCTAAAACTGTCCACTTCCTTGTTTCACAATTTGGTAGGCTGGAAAAATTAAATACCATATGACATTTCCATGCCATTATGATTTGAAAGATATCAATTGAAATGCAATATGCAAGTTAGGGATGTAAGTTTAAGTTTAAAAAATTGCGAGTTCTTACCATGAATGATTAATAAACCTTGCCAGGCTTCCCTTCCTTGTAGCATCGATGAAATAATTTGCATTTAGAGAGATTATATATGCATCCTTAAGGCCTGCATCATTCAATTCATATTAGAATTCTTCATAGTTAATTTCTTGATTATGGTACCAACAATATCAAACACCTACCCTGATTTTCATAAGTTTGAGACCTTTTCCTCGCTTTTTCTGACGATATTACTTCCCCACAGTATTCAATTATAAATTGTCCATCCTAATAATATGGAAAAAAAGAAATTTTAAGAGAGCTCATGATGATTGATGAGTCATGAGTGATTTAAATATTTAATGGGGATTTAGCTGACCCAGGAAGACTAGGGAGTTAATGCCATCAAACTTATGAATTGCTGGTATGATAGTCAAGTAGCCATAAACAATACCTCAAATCAGGAAAGTTGATAATCAACTTGTTGCAGAATATATTGGAAAATGACCAGTTCTCTTCTCTAATGCAAAAACAGGTTCTTAACTAAAAAAGTTTGGCTAAGCCTCTTTGTGGTCATAGACTGACTGTGACTGTATATTGTGAGAAGCTAAGCATTAATATACTATAGTGGTAAGAGATTGGTGTTGATAAATATGATAGGGATGCTACCCAATAACCATAATAAGAACACAAATTAATGTATAAATGCATGAACTAGAGGTATTTAATTTCTCATGAAATTACCATATTAGACAAATAGAGAATGAATACCATATTGGAAGTTTGAAACCCTATGATATGACCCAAAAAAGAGTAATATGCTTAATTGCAAAGGAACAAAATGAATGATTGTGAACTAGAACTCGAGGTGTAATATGGTTGAGATCCCAAACTCCCTAAGTTTGGGTTTGCTTGAGATCCCAAAACTCTCTTTGCTTTTAGCCTCTAACAATGAAACTATTGCTTGTGTTAAATTAAATTGAATTGCATCCATTGCCAATAGATCTAAAAGAGTCATTTTTGACAAAGTTTTTGCTTTGGGTCAAAATGGACTAAATCAAAACGACAATTAAACTTCCCTTGCTTTTAACTTTCAATGAATTTTCGGGCAATAAATGCAACAATGCATCAAGAGTCTAACAGAAACAACCTCTCTATTTGTCTACGAGGGTAAGGCACGTCTTGACCCCTAAACTCCAACAAGCTGGGATTTTATTGGGTTTGCTGAATTAAAGTGAATTGAGTGAGAGTCACAGATTTCAATTAGTGAGAAGTTTTGAATTTAGTTTTTTACATTTAAGATGAAAGCTATCACATTTAGACTAATAACTATAACTTGTTCAAGTACACATCTTGAGTGCATATAGAAAAGTGGTAGTTAATAGCCCAAAGGTGCAAATTGCAATGTCTTCCAAGACCAGGCTCCGTAGAACCATATGAAGCAAGTTTCAGGAAAAAACTTAAAATAAGAAGATGAAGCTTCAAGCATATTACCTTTATATTCTCATCAGCATGAAGACCCCACCCACGGCCATCAGTTCTGAACAACTTCGTTTTGGCATATTCACATTTCTGAAATCTCTGGAAGAGAAAAAACAATACCTCCAATCAATGGTTTTTTGTGAATTCCAAGGCATTTTGAACAGGAATTTTTAATCCCAATATTAGTCAATTTACCCAACCATATCAAGATAAACTAGTAGTGAGACACCATGAATGAATTGTATGATCTATGTATACCTTCAAACAGAAATAATAACCTAGTATGATCCCAACATCATTGGGATCAGATGAACACAGCCTTACCCCTGTAAAAACTAAGAGGCTGCTTTTGTTAGACCCTTGATGCATTGCTGCAAATATTACCAAGAACTTTCTAAAAAGTAAGAAGCAGAGGAAGTTTAATGTGTCATTTTTATTAAGTCCATTATTAAACTGAAACTAAAAAATTGATAATAATGACACTTTTGGCTCCTGTAGCCACATATACAAAACTGCTAATACATTCATATGCATGGAAGTTTGCTAACTGCAAACACTAATATCAAGTCAGAAAAATATATAATATAGCATAAGAATAAGACACAACAACAACAACCCAGATGAATCCCACCGGATAGGGTATGGGGAGGGTGTGTGTACGGAGACCTTACCCCTACTCGAAAGTAGGGAGGCTGTTTCCAAGAGACCCCTAGCTCAAGTAACACAGGAAGCAAGTTGTGCACATAAGGTCATAACCACATAGCACGAAAAAGGAGTAGCAAAGATCAAAGAGCAGACTTAGGTGTACGAAGGAGAAAGCACAAGCAGAAAGCACCAAATAAAGAAAGCACATAATGACAAGAATAAGACAGTGCTGTTAAATATTGTTCCATCACAGTATCGTACAATACAACATAATATAGCCAGTGTTGTCCAATCCCAAAATGCAAAAGCAGTATGGAGGACAGTGAGATTAGAACTATTCTGATATTTTTTAGTAGTTAATATATAGCATATACTCTACACATATAGAATCCCAAAAATAGTACTCCCTCCATCCCAAATTCATTTTCTCATGTGAAAATGACACGGAATTCAAGAAAAATTAAATTGTGTGATTGAAGGAGAGAGAAATAGAATGTGAAGATGACTTTAAGATGTCCAAGAAAGAAGCGAGGCAAAATCATTTTGTGGCGTAGGGAGTAAAAAATTACTCAAACTAGGTGAGATGCAGAATTGATACAAAGAAGTCATTAGGGCAATAAGAAACCGTGCGAATCATAAGCCATAACCACCAGAAGTCATTGCTGTCATTACTAATGAGCAGATGCAGTTAGAACAAAACTAACTGGTTGCAAGTTGTCGCAGGTGAGTGGCCAAAGGTCATTCACCGGAGATAGAGATTGTGGCTAGAAGTACTGGTCCTGACTCACTAGAGATGAAGAGATGAAACAAAGTGAAGAAGAATCAGGTGCAAAGAAGACTTATATCCTGGAGTTACGTCACTACAAATGGGAGTTCTTTTTAAATTATGAAATCACAAAAATATCCCAATGAAACAATAATGTTACTTTACTAAAAGCAGAAAGCAACTTCAGTGTTGCAGCATTACTTTACCCACTATAACTTCCCACAATTCTCGCAACCCTAATCCTCTCTGCTACAGACTACAGAAAGTCCAGTAGCGGACACATCATGCTTCACTCGGTTACATTGCTATAGCATGCAATTGACAACACCCATATAGCTTTGGGCAGTATTAGACATCTTCCATGTAGTTAAATCCAGTATCCACTCCTACTCTGCACCTAAAATACGTATCTGCTAATAGCCAAATTCAAGTTAAGTAGACCATTAGTCTTAGAGCTAGTTCTCTTCGTCTGATCTGATTAGATTTGATCCGATTTTATTAAGGTCTGATCTGATTTTATTAAGGTCCGATCTAGACTGATCTGATTGTAGTTATATTTAAAATTGTTTACGATCTGGCTGATTCTAATAAGAATAAGTAATAAGTAATAAGAATAAGTTGAAGAGAACAAGCTCTTAGACTCTAAGGCCTATAACTACCTTTCTTCAACGCAATGATTTTGGATCTTGGTTGTGTAGGTGACAAAAATAGAGCTATGCCATAGCAATCATGGTTATCACGTCGATAAGTCTAGTTGAGGCGTTGAAGAAGAGACTAGTCGACACTTCGGCCAACTAGTGCATGATTAGTCGACAAGTCATAACAAGTAATACATCCTGTCAAAAATAGATGTAAACTTATAACTAAAGATAACCACATTTTTAGAAGAAAAAATATCAATGTCTTAGCAAAACTAAGTTTCAAGATAGAACAGCACAATAACAAACATAAATAGAAAAGAAAAACTAAATGTATTTCAATATGTACAAAGAACTTATTATTAAAAACAAACTGAAATTTGCAAACCAGAAATGATAGAATGAAAATATTAATAGGTGTTAAAACAAAATTTCACTACAAAAATAATAGAATAAAAGAAAACAAAAATCTAGAAGTAAATATAGAGTAGAAAAATTATTTAGAGATGGTCCAAAAAGGAAGCTAAAAACCATAAACATAAAATTGAAAGAGAAGAAAGGGCATTTTAAAAGAGCTTTTCAATTTTACGGACTACTAATTACACCTACTACAGAGTTCCAAACAGACCCACATCCACTGATCTCCCCTCCCCTCCCCTCCCAAAAAAATGAAATAAATAAATTTAAAAGAAACAAAACACGGGAATTCAAAAGAGAAAAATGAAAGACCAATCCTCCAAAACGGATGAATACGGAAGTGACAAGCGGATCTACTTTGGCCATAGGTTCGAGTTTTCAAATCAAGATCATGTCATAATTTACTCCTGTAGCTAGTCGCCACCACCACTCGTCCCTTCCCAGCAACTCGACACATAGCCGACAACTTAATAACATCGATGACAATGATATAGATGATAGATCTGGAATTATTCTAATAATTTGATTTGGAATTTGATTCAATTCAACTACACTAAAAGTTTCCAAACAGGCCATAAATGATTCACACAACTTTATCCAATTTTACTTAAGTACAAACAATGTTAAAACAAAACTTAGGTAGAGCTAACATTATGCAAAGAACATTATAAGATATGTGAATCTATTTTCTCCTAAACTAAGTTACCTTTTCACATTTACCATAACCTTGATGAAGCTCAACTAAATAGAACATTAAGCCTATAATATGAAGAACTTTGATCCACACAGCCTATAGTTTTCCATAGATATAGACAAGAAAAATAAAATGTCATGCTGTGAACAAAATTCACTGTTTTTTTTGCATCTTGGTGAATACAGCTATAAGCGTCTAGTTTTACAGGCACATGCAATTAGAGAGGCTTGCATAAAACACTAGGATACTCCACCTGATTCTTGCAATAATCGCCACAAGGGCAGTATCCAGGTGTGCATTCAGTGCTGGTTAATACATTCAAGCACCCTTCTCCACATGCACTTTCAGGATCACCGTGTTCATACTTGCATAAGCAAATAGCAAGATCCTCATCTTTAATTTTTTTAGTTCTGTAAGGTATCAGAAGAGCCTGAATTAAAACCATGCTCTAGAGGGGAGCCATTAAACATCCCAAGAACACTGATTGACATGTTCAACGTCATGCAAAAAATGAATGGATGTAAATAGTAAATAGGGGATTGCAGATTGCCCTTCAACTCTATGCTAAACCTAGCATGCATCTAGTAAGGTAGCATTTTAAAATCGGATTGGTTCCGTTGCCCCATTGGGTGCTCTGTTCGAAAAATTGATGGTTCCTACCCCGACCCAAACCCACCCCCCCATCCCAACTTTGGAGTCAAATTTTTGACCACAAAGTCAACTAAACTTGAGGAGTCTAATTGACAGGGGTGGGTTTCGGTCGGTTCGGGCCAGGTGGGGGGGTTTCCCAGGGGGTTAGTGGGGATAAGAACCATCAATTTTTTGAACGGAGCACCGGAGGTTCTCTAAAAAGCCAGTGGCACCGTTGCCGCAGAACCCCTTCGTTTTAAAATTAAAATAGCATCATACTATTGATCATCAGCAATCAGCACGCTCGCCATAAGTGAACAAAACAAAATGAGGAATTTAGTCATTCTCATCAGGATATCAAGTAAAGCTATATAAGGCAAAACAAGATTAGTGATTGGTGAATCAATGATGTAGAATCCGAATCAACTTAGGGCTATTTTAATGCAAGGAATTCTAACAAGAGTATATTTCCAAGGGGGAATTCAAATATAATTTACGTTTGGATGCTTGTGGGGAGATTTAATGCACAATAGTTCTCGTTGAACGAAAAAGTTAAAGAATCATGGGAGGACTTAATTTTATGTAGCAGCATACATGTCATATATGAATTTGGACAAGAATGTGGTAATGGACAGAAGGAAATGACGAGAGGCCATTTTTGAGAGCGACCAAATGTGATTTTCTTCCTTGTTCATGTAGCTGACCTCAACTTACTAGGGATAAGGCTTTGTTGTTGTCGTATAAGACTATAAGTGTGTAAATCAATGTGTAACAAATAGTGCTAAACATGCATTTTTTCCCTATTACTCTCAATGGTGATCTACAAGACAGCCACCTAGGTGGCACCCAGGCACTAGGCAGGTTTACTGGCTAAGCCGCCTGAATACCCACCTATGTCATCCTAGACTGCCAGTCGTGGGTAAGACCGTATATGCAGCCAAGCACCTAGATGGCAGGCGAAAAAATGTTCCCAACAAAAAAATGTTAAAATGGCTCCATCAAATAAACTCAAACTCATTAGAGAACATCATAGAGCCATCCACCATTATTTCTCAATTTTGTGGTAGTTCGCATAGATGGGGAGGCTGGGGTAAGGGATGGAGTTGCTCTTGGTGAACAATGTAGGAAATTAGAAACCAAGGCATGCACAAGAAAGTTCTTGGAACTTTAATAAAAAAACACCCACTCTAAGCAGAGATGTCTGTCATGGAATTGAACATACATGTGACATTGTTGGAATCTACGTTATATGTCAATCAAATCATTACAGCACATATGCTTCAAAGTGAGGGAACGAATCAAATTCCCAACTCATTTCAAAATCAGTATATGAAGAGTTCATGTGTTAAAGGTTCCACCGCCACAACTACAACTCCATCCAATGTTTCAGTTCACGTTACCACAGCCTCAGCAATCTGAACTTGCTTGGACGATTGACTCATATAGAAATCCAGCAGCATGAAATAATATGTCTCAAAGAGTTTGGTATGCTCAGTGACCACGAGTGTAGTGTTTGAAGTTTTTAAAGTACTTGGTTAACATCAGTGTAGTGCCAGGAGTACTCAGTGGGACCAAGTGTTTCAATAACCACATACCAATAGTCCAATAAGTATTGCTCAAAGAGAACCAATAAGGTGTGTTCTATTTTACAAGCTCAAGTAAGCTTTAGCTCGAGGAGAGTGCTGTATACTAAGTTTGTTACAAATGTAATTGGTGACTTCTTATATATGCTGTCATCTTAGTGGTATGATGGTATCACCTATAGCTTTGATGATATCACTCTTAGCTAAAAGGTTCCTACTTTTTTTTTCCACGTACTCCTCCTATTTATCAATCCCACCATTACCATGCATATGTATTGTATCAGAAAGATGAATTGTGCAATAACAAGCTTCTATGGACTACGTTTCAAAATGTATTGACATTTCAAGTTGAATTCTTTATATTTTACTACTATTTCAGATTAAAGTGACAACACAAATATACGAAGTATAAAGAATACAAGATTCAAGTGAATAAATCAGAACATACTTAAAAGAATATTACAAAAAATCAGAGCATAACCAAGCAAATGAAATGGGATCGTCATTAGATATTGTGTGAAAGAAACAAGTACAGGCAGGATTAACTTACTTCCGCCCTAAGAAATCATTTTGATTGATATGTATAAATGGTGGTACTCCATCAGGTAGTTGGACCTTCAAGAAAAACAAACTATTACATTTCATTTTTTTTTAACGAAAGTACTTCATAAATCAATATTCAATTACATTTTCATTTAAGATGCAAAGAAAAATAAGGTTATAAGAATAATTCAAAAAATAAACAAATGGAAAAAATTACTAAGTTGGGCTTAGAGGTGACAATCGGGTCAACCGGATCGGTTTCGGGTTGGATTTTTTCGGTTCGGATATCTTTCGGATATATGTTATAATCGGTTCGGTTTCGAGTCGGTTCAGATACGGTTCGGTTATAAATCGGTTCGGATAGATTTCGGTTTGGATACAATTTGAATCGGATATATTCCGGTTTCGGTTCTAATTCGGTTCGGATATATTTTGGTTTCGGATCGAATATATTTTGGATATATTTTATTTTCTAATTAAAATTTAACTATCCATGTTTCTTTTTATGTTTTATCACATTTATCAATCTATCATCAATTCAATACCTCATATTATTTTATATTTTTTTTCTAATTATAATATCTCTACCCAAAATAATCTTCCCTTTTTGACTTTTTAGTCATATTTTACAAATTTGGACTACAAATTATGAAAACATAAATTGATTTTAAAATTTAGTTTTGATATATCAAATTTTTCTCAAATCTACTAATATACTTATGTTTATAAATGAAAAGATAAAAGATAAATTCAAATAGTGTTATGTTCCATTTGAATACAATTTGGTAAAAATTGAGTAAAATTGGGTGAAATTAAGTGAATTTTATTCAATTGAGTGCAAAATTTATAAATTATTGAGTGAATTTGGTTGAAAAATAGATAAAATTAAATTTAATAGAGTCAAATATAATTAATTTTACACCTAAATGTAATGGTGTAGATCGAATTTGAAAATGATAAAACTAAATGATGCCGCTAGAGAGTCTTTTCAAAATGCTAACACTAGCATCTAATGTTATTGACTAATATTGAGTGAATTGGTTTGAAACTAATCAAATTAACTATCAAATCAATAAAATTTATTGTAATGGGATGAAATTAGGATAAAATCTAGTTATTCCATACAATTCATCATATAATCATTTCGTCCCATAAGGAATATCACACTTCACTATTCAAAAATTACGGAAATTTTATTTGTTTGTGTGTTATCATTTATATGTATAACTTATCTTTAATTTTTAAATATAATAAATTTAACGCATGAAATTTTGTACTTTTTTTCAAGATGATAATCTATTTTATGAGGGAATGAGCAAGTAATGTAATTAGTTCAAATGGTAAAATAAAAGTAAAAATTTAAAAATATAATATGTTTATTGAAAGGAAAACGTAGTTCTGAATTTATCGGTTTAAGTTCTAATCGATTTCGGATTTTATCGGTTTCGGGTATTATCGGTCTCAGATCAAATCGGTTTCGGGTTTAATCGGTTCGGATATTATCAGTTTCGGATCTAATTGGTTTCAGATTTAAATCGGATATGAATTATTTAGTTCGGTTTCAGTTCGATTCAGATCATTTCGGGTTTTCGGTTATAGATCGGATCTTCATTTTTTGGATCATTTTGGTTTCGGATATATCGGTTCGCGAAATCGGTTCCGGTTCTGTTTTGCCAGGTCTAGTTGGGCTAGTAATCTTCACCTTAAGGAAGTCAAAGTGTAATAATCCAATAAATAAACGAAGAAGAGCTTCAACATACAGAAATTGAGTTAAGGAAAGGAATCCTATGATTACCATTATTATATACAATTAAAATACAATTAAATTTCACCAAAATGTTCTTAAATCTATCATGGTATCGGAGCCAAAATATTTCTAAACCCTAGGTGATACGATAGCTTTGTCGACTAGCCTGACAATCTGCAAGCTAAGCTTCCAAGACGCCGACCACGGTGAAGAAGAACGTCGAGGATGATGACGACGTAATGAAGACGCGTCGACGCCGTATCTCGCCATAGGATTTGTCACCCAGTGATAATCTTGGTATGTTACTCACACAAGTTGTATTGAAGGGACCCAACTACGATGAATGGTCCAAATCTCTATACCTTACTCTTTGAGCGCGTAAGAAATTTGGATTTGTTGATGGATCTATTCCGCTGCCGAAACGTGATTCTGATGATTTTGAAGATTGGCAGACAAACCATTCCTTGATTGTTGCATGGATACGAAACAGTATTGAACCCATGCTGAGTTCATCGATCTCATTCACAGAGATTGCTTCCGAGCTTTGGGCCGATCTGACGGGTCATTTCTTGGTGGTAAATAGACCTAGGGGTCAACAATTGAAGCGGGAATTGACTGAATGCAAACAGAAGGGACTCTCCATAATGATCTATTATGGTATGAAGAAGAAGATATAGAATGATTTTTTGGACGTGGAAAAAGTTCCAACTTGCACGTGTAAAAATTGCACGTGCGATTTTGCGGCAGCCCTTGCCAAAATTCGTGAAGAGGAGCGTGTTCATCAAGTTTTTGATGGGACTCGACAAAACACTATATAGATCTATTCGTATGAACCTTTTGTCTCAAGAACCCTAGCGCACAGTAACTAGGATATATAATATACAGAGGAAATAGCGTGGGATGCTATGCGCACCATTGACACGGACAAAGAAGCGGTGGCTTTCCTCACTCGATCGCTTTCCTCACTCGATCTGGACCCAAGAAAGAGGTCACTTGTGGAAACTGTAAAAAACCATGTCACGGTGTTGACACGTGTTACGGGTTACATGGATATCCCGAAGGATGGGTCTTTCGAGGTGAGGCAGGCCGGCCTAGGAGGACAGTCCGGAGGAAGGGGTGCTGGACGCGGTAGTAGCCGCGGTGGTCGCAGTGGTGGGTCGTGCAGTGGGCATGCTGCCGTACATGCAATGCATGGAGGAGGCATTGATGTTGAACGTCAAACCACCAAGCAATGGGACACGGTGCGACATGCACTTTCTTTGTCACCCACCGGTATGATTGAAAAGTTGTCAGGTATTCCTATAACCCCACGTTGGATTATTGATACAAGAGCCTCGAATCATATGAAGGGTGATATATCATTGTTATCTGATATTACTCCTATTGCTCCTTGTGAGATTGGATTGCCACTTTCTGTTCAGGCAGGGAAAGTTTGTTTAACCAAAACCTTGCTTTTGAGGAATGTTTTATTTGTTCCCACACTTTGTTGTCACTTGATCTCGGTTTCTCAGTTAACCAAGAAATCAAATAGTGAGGCATGTTTTACCGGAGGATTTTGTGTATTACAGGACCTAAGTTTGCAGATGACGATTGGTGTGGGGACACAGGCTGAAGGACGTTATTATTTGAAGAAAAAAAAAAGAGAGGAAGGTGTGTAATGCAGGAAAGGAGAACTCTTTTGATTTGTGGCATAAACGCCTTGGACACCCCTCTTCTCATGTTTTGTCATTAGTTCCATTTGCTGGATCTAAAAAACATAGTAGTTTAAATAATGGTTGTTGTGACATTGGCCTTCGTGCCAAACAATCGCGTACCAGTTTTCCCATCAATTTTTATCAATCCAGTGCAATTTTTGATATGATAGTATGATAGACTATGATTTGTGGGGCCCATATAGGACACTCGGTTTGGATGGCTCTACTATGTGTTTAACTATTGTTGATGATTATTCGCGTGGAGTTTGGGTGTATTTACTTGATTGTAAATGAAAAGTGGGATCATTTTTTGTTGATTTTGCTGCCATGGTTGACCGACAATTTGAGAAGAAAATTAAGTGTGTCCATAGTGACAATGGGACAAAATTTGAATGTTTGAAGGATTATTTTAGACAAGGCATTATTTATGAAACTTCATGTGTTGGTACTCCACAACAAAATGGTCGTGTTGAACAAAAACACCGCCATATTTTGAATGTAGCAAGGGCTTTGAGGTTTCAGGCAGGACTACCAATTGAATTTTGAGGTGACGGTATTCAAACTGCGGCATATCTTATCAATAGAACACCCTCCAGTCTCGTTACGGGGGTGTCCCCCTACAAAAAACTTCATGGGAAGGCTCCTTCATTTACTCATATTCGTGTTTTTGGCTGTAGATGTTATTCTCATAATAAAAAACTAGGCGGGGATAAGTTTGCATCACGAAGCAACCCAGGAATCTTCTTGGGTTATCCTCAAGAAAAGAATGGGTGGCGTATCTACTTTCCCGAAACTGGAGTTGTTTCAGTATCTCGTGATGTATATTTTTGGGAAAAAATATTTTCCCGTTTCTCGTGATGAGCCTAAGTGTTGATGCATCAGGCACGAAGTGAGCAGAGCAATCCCGATGCTGAAGCTTCTTTGCCGGAATCTGCCGTGTCCCTGCCCCCAACATCGGACGACTCTGAGGCTCCTTCCCCTGCCTCGCTGATCGCTGACACGCCACCCTCATCGTCTGATGACAGCAGCGACAATGCCGGTGGTGAGGCCGAACAAGGACGTGGACGCAGGGAGCGATTCTGAATGTTTTTAAATCTATCAAATTGAGAGTCAGTATTGAACTATTGGTTCCAAATTTCTTTGATTTAACGGTTTTATAATAAAATGTATTAAGAGTAGTTCATAATTTAAAAACCCTTAGGCTAACATATTTGTTGCAGTGCTTCAGTGGCCATTATGATCCATTATCAAATACATGATACAACAAATATAATTGAAAGCAAACATGAAAAACAATAAAACGCAGGATGCGAATGATTCAGTGAAAACGATACAACGGATGTACAAATCAGACAACAGCGCTACTAGAGATTCTCTCTGAAGAACGAACAGGGCAAACCTGTGAGGAATCGCGTGCGGAACACATGCACGCTCGGGCAATGCTAGAAAACGCCAAGGACAAGTGCCTGAAGTTGAACAGATCCGAATCAGTTAGGATTAGAAGGGGACGGGATTGGAGTCAAGTTTTTTTCCGGCAGATAAGAATGCGCCGATCACCGTGCGGCCGGGGTTGGAGAGGCTGGGAGGTATAGTAAATTCTACTCCGTAGTTTCTAAAGTAACCAATTGGTACTTGATAATTCAGAATTATTAAAAAATGAGAGAAAATATCGAGACACAAGAGAGATATGTATCTGAATTCTATTATTCTTAATTGAATCTTTGTAAGGATATTAAGTCTCTATTTATTGTAGAGAAGCTTAAAATAAATGCAAATACAAGTGGGAAGAACTATGCAAAATACTGCTCCACAATGGGTGTTTTAATCTATATGCTAGAAAGTATGTCTGATTAATTGAATAGATGAACAATCATTAATTTCATAACACTCCCCTTGAATGTTTATTTTTCAAGTAATGATGGACACTTCATGAATTGGGGATAGTTTAGAAACTCATTCTAATTTTATGTACTGTCTCGTTAAAAAATTTTTCAGGAAAAATCCAGTGGGATAAAAATCTAATCAAAGGAAAAAGAGTGCAGTTCATAAAATTCTCCCCCTCGACTTAGTATAATTGACGGAGGTGACGCATGCCAATCTTTTGTACGAGACTTGATTTGCTTTATGTCAACCTTTTCATCTTTCTTGAGATCATGTGTTGAGAAGAACTTTCGTGATATATACTTTGTTCGGTCTCCTTTGATGTAACCTTCTTTCACTTGAGCAATGCATGCAGTGTTGTCTTCATATATAGGAGTCGGATGACTAGTGATTGTTTCTATACCGCACTCGCTCCGGTATGTTGGATCATTGATCGCAACTATACACATTTTCTACCTATTCCGTAGAAAGCTATCAACTCTGCGTGATTTGATGATGTGGCAGTCAAAGTTTGATTCATCGATCGTCATGATATTGTGGTATCTCCATAAGTAAACACATATCCTATTTGAGATTTTGCTTTTTGTGGATCAGACAAATATCCTGCATCAGTGTATCCAACAAGAGTGACTTTGGCACCTTTGCAGTAGAATAAACTAAGGTCGATGGTACCATTGAGATGTCGCAAAATGTGTTTAATGTCATTCCAATGCCACCTAGTCAGGATCGAACTGTGTTTAGCTAAAAAGTTCACCAAGAATGCAGTATTTGGTCGAGCGTTGCTTGTTAGATACATCAAAGCTCCAATAGCAGTTAGGTATGGTATTTCTGGACCAAGTATTTCTCCATCATTTTCACTTGGGTTATTACTACAAATGATAAGGCTTCATTTGGAAACAATGTTTACATATAGTGTTTCAAATTTGTTTTTAATAGTACAAATTAACATTGAAAATGTTAACCCAAACATTATCGTTAATTAGCATTTTCAAAACATTAAAAGTAAAAACTCAAGTTCATAAAAATGGCACTAACTAAAGAAAGAAGATATAGTTTAACTATAAGGTTAGAAAAATAAAACTTAAGTGGAATAGAGGGAGTATTTATAACTACGGAGTAATACATAACACTGACTCTATCATGTTTTTACACAACCTAAATTGTTCAGAAGTAACACAACCACACAGGACGAGAGATGTTTTTTTACACACTAACCTTAAAAGGCAATTTTTGCATAGGACTAATAGTTGATTCTCTTCAACTTATTTTTATTACTTATTATTACTTATATATTCTTATTGGAATCAAACCATATCAGATCAAAAACAGTTTTAGTTATAACTACAAATCTACAAACAGATCGAATCAAACCAGATCAGAACTTATTCTAATCAGATCAGAACCAATATCAAATCACGTGAAAAGAACAAGCTCCGAGTGTGTTTTGGGGGGCAGCGAATTCTTGGAGAAGTAGAAACCACAGGGTGAAAACACTTGTCCTAGCGTCACTTTGGAAAGCACCTCCCGAGCCTATTTTGCACTTTCTAAGGCCAGAAGCAAGCAAAATGCCAAACACTTAAAAGTGTATTTTGGCGAAGCGAAATCTCAAAAGCTGTTTTTGAAAACAGCCCCATACTCCCTCTAACTCTCAGAATATGTAGTCTGGCAGCTGAAGAGGAAATCTTGCCACTTTGACTTCAAATGGACTGCCTTTTGGGTCTGCTAAGCTGAGAAGAATAGGAGAAAAATCAGCCTCATTATTTTGTGTGTGCATTCTACCAAAACCTTTGTGAGAGAGTGTCATGGCGAGACGGAACCCGAATTACATGCTCAAGTTTTTTTGACAACTTATTACTTGCAACTTTTAAAGTGTTGTGTTTCAAATTGATGACCACTATTCAAAACTTTTCACATAAAATTACAACTGAATTTTAGTTCAATTTGGTTAAGTTTAGAAACATCAGTTGAAAAGGAACAAACTCAACCTCATTCTATAGGTTTCACCAGAAATAATGTGAGGAATAATATTTACCAGCACTTAAAATACTCTCTCCATCCCATATCTAAATTCCCGGTTTGATTTCGCACAAATTAATGAGAATTTTAGAGTAAGTTTGATTTTCCAATTTTGCCCCAGAAATGACATTGATGTGATATTGGTTGAAATAAGAGAGAGAGAGAGAGAGAGAGAGAGGGAGTAATGTGATGGGAAATAAATAAGGGCCAGTATAAAAAATGATTCAAAAAAGTAGGGGTATTATAGTATATTTGGTGTGTTAGTTATACCAAATATGGAAGTGTGAATTTTCTTTTGGGACGCCAAAAATGAAAAGTGTGAATTTAGTTATGGGACGGAGGGGGTAGTAGGAAATGATTCTATAACAAAAAAACTAGCTGGAAAAGATGAACACTAATACTAGTGATAGTAAATCAACAACAACAACAACCTAGTGAAGATAGCACTCAGTAAATCAACAACAACCTATTGACGATAGTAATTTGTAAATATATATCAGAAAACAAATTCTGGAGATGCCAGAAACATGACACTACTAAAATGTCTTGATGACTTACCATCCCGGAACAAAAGTGAAGAGACCTTCTATTGAGCCTGACGGAGATGATAGTTGTGTGCAGCTCTCATATACAAATTCTTCTTCACCAGGTAGTAGAAGTGGGAACTGCAAATATCCAAGGACAGTTAGGCTTTATTTACAAGGTGCACATGAGAGCAATAAAGTTAATAAAACTAGAGTGTCAAAAGAAAGCTTTATTTTAAGTAACTTGGGGATCAAAAGTAACACAAGTGAAAAAAAGAATGAGAAAGTTAGAACAATTATAATTTAGCGACCAATAATCAATATTATAGGAAGGATGGAGGGAGGGCGAGATGGGGGCAAGATCTTTTGAAAAAACTGAAAAGGGGCATATACGTCATTAAATAAGCTCAAACTAGCCAACTGTAGAAAATGGAACAAATACTTCAAGCATTTGTTAAAAAAAGAAAGGGAAACATACATTCAAGTGCAAATGGAGAACATGAAAACTAGGTTAGGTGAGGAGAGGTGAAAAAAGAGATGAGGTAATCAAATCGGACCCAGTTACTGTAGTCACTCAGCTAGGGTGACTGAGGTCTGAGGTTGTAGAAATATGAGGGTGCAGTATAGAAAAAGTGACTTAAATTATATGTCGTATGGTTTGTGAGTTGTAACACCTGAGTCAATAACCCCAGCAGGAACTGGAGGAAATGAAGCATGTGTTTGTTTAATTGCTGCACTTTAGAAATTACTAGTATTATTAAATACAAAACAAATAGATTTCTCATAGATAACACTAATGGAAGCAAAATTTGATACGGAGTCCCTTAGTGCTTATATTGCAATTTTCGGTGATCCCACTTCAGAGGTTCGAACTTATGGAAATAATATGCAATTCCATGATTCTTAATCTTCTCATTGTCTAATCTGGGTGATGCTTAGGCTCCCACACAGTGGAAAACACTGGCCACTTGCCCGGGCAGGGGACCTCGCCTTGACATGTAAACTCAAGAAGAGAACCTTTATGCAATGCTTTTGTTTCAAAAAAAAATGGTGAGAAAATAATAATACCTTTCCAATTACTCCTTCTCCACTAACATCATCTACAATAGAATCATCCACACGAATGATCCAATGTCTCCTATACAATTGGCAAGAACTAAACTTCATTCCATTTATGATACATCCTTTAGGTGAAAGAGACATGCGGATAGAATAAGCGAATATATATTCCAGAGAATCTGGTCGAAGGTTGCAGCACTCCGGAACAACCACAGCAGATGCACGTACCTGAAATATATACCTCAGGTTTCTGATACAAGCAATTAGAACCTACAAAATTGAAACAAGCACCGATGTCTTGCTTAGAATATATAATGTAATGGCAGAATAGGCACCTTCACACCATTTGTCACAGCAGTGGAACAAAGTGGAGGTTGTTCTGGATAAAGACTGATGCTTCTAATGCTCCTTTCTGTTCGAACCTTCGCAATTCCATTTTCTAAATGCCGGCCATGTTCTTCTAGCCACAATAACATGCCATCTTGCTGTTGGCTGCAATCTGTGAGGTGCATAGAATACAACAAAGAGTGTGGTACACAAGGAAGCATTTCGCAGTCACTAGACATATTCCAGCCGCCCACGTGGAGTTGGCCAGTTGAACAGTTCAAGTAAAAAACCTTTTCATAACCCGTAGTAGAAGCTGCAACAACCACAAACTTGGAGCTATTGTCATTTCCCAAATGACACCTAGCATGCTTCGTTTCAATTATGACTTGACTTAAAGGAAATAAATAAACATTCACTAGATGGTCATAGAAGGTGTACCCTCCAATCAAGCCCAACAAGTTTACTGGTGTGCTTCTAGTGACTTCTTTACTTGGTTCTTGGCCATCACAAAAACGGTATAGAGCCCTCGTGGGAAGGGGTAATTTGACTTTTAAACACTCCTCCAAGTGCTTTATTCTGTCCTCAGATGCACCTTTACGTAACGTAGGTAAAACCTCAGGGAAATTAATTTCCATCCAGGCTCTTATTCTGCTCCAACATCTTTTGGTTCTTGTAACCAAGGACCACGGGTACATATTGAAAGCTTCTCTCCATGTTTGATAAGAGACCTAAACACACATAAAATTTTTGATGCAATTCTTTAACCCCATGTCTCTGTGTGTGTGTGTTACATAATGTAAATACCTTCTCTATGACATTAGTTATTGGGAAAATTGACATTAGGAAAAATGGGTACTTTTCTCCCAATAGATTCAATTCAAGGCGGAAAAAATGGAAACTTGAAAGAAAAAACAAATTGAAAAATACAGGAAGTCCAGATTATATGAATTATTACTTTCAATCCAAAAACAGCTTAAAGTACTGGAGCAAAATTTTTCAATTCAAGCACAATTATTCACAATTAAGCGAACGCATAAGCAGTTTTACTCTGAAAGAAGAGGTGGGGTTGCCCAGTGGGTCCTGAGGAGAAGATAGTCCGACTTCATCAATGCAGAATTTAGACCAGATGATTTCATCGCCGGAGACCCAGTCCCTAAATCTCCGGCTGGTGCAGGCCGTAGCGGCGACGTTCTCCGGTCCAAGTTTGGTCATGATGATGTGAACCGCCAGCCCGCCCACGCTCTCTAATCCCGTCATCCTTTTGTTTTCTTCTTCCCAGAAATGATGGGAACCAGAACTGGAGATTGAGGCTTTAGAGCATCTTTAGTGTGGCAGATCTTACCTAGGATAAGGAATTCCTTGAAGGATTGAATTCCACTTCACTTTTTTAAAGTGAAACAACTCTATAAGAATATTTGTTACTCCTTCCCTCCAACACTTTTTTTCTCAATTTGACTTGAAAATTAAAAAAAATTAAAAAGTGTAAGGATTTTTCATTTATATCCTTGATGTGATGGAATAAAGTGAATAATGCATATAAAAGATAGGAGTATGATGGGATATTCACTAAAAGTTTTTTGCCAAAAAAAAAGTGATAAAGAAATTAATGGGAGTACTAAAGATGTTTTTGCGCGTTTTCGTAAGAGCACTGGAAATGATCGTGAAGCCCCGAGGCTTCAAATCGGGATTTCAAACCTCCCCTATCTGCCACATCAACTATAACTTACACCAAAATTTCATTAGAAATGGATTTGAAGGCTTGGGGCTTCAGACCTCTATTTTTTTCTCAATTTGACTTGAAAATTAAAAAAAAATTAAAAAGTGTAAGGATTTTTCATTTATATCCTTGATGTGATGGAATAAAGTGAACAATGCATATAAAAGATAGGAGTATGATGGGATATTCACTAAAAGTTTTTTGCCAAAAGAAAAAACGAGAAAGAAATTTTTGGACTATCCAAAAAAAGTGATAAAGAAATTAATGGGAGTACTAAAGATGTTTTTACGCGTATTCGTAAGAGCACTGGAAATGATCGTGAAGCCCCGAGGCTTCAAATCGGGATTTCAAACCTCCCCTCTCTGCCACATCAGCTATAACTTACACCAAAATTTCATTAGAAATGGATTTGAAGGCTTGGGGCTTCAGACCTCTATTTTTTTACATTTTTGATATACACATCTTCTAAAATTAAATTAATAAAATTTCGTTGTTTAATTGAATTTAATGACAATAACTCATTAAATAAAAAAGTTACGGAGTACATTTAATCAAAAACTATATTAATACAATAAGATTTGAATTATAACAACATAAACTAAAAAAATTATATTACATTACGAAGACATTAGTGATTACTCGAGCGACTAAAAATATCTTCTCGTTGGCTTTGTTGCCACCATTGATAACAAAAAATAAGAACTCTGTTTTCATCATCCGGTGATGATCTCATTTTTCAAATATTTTGTAGAGATAATTAAAAGAAATATAATATATTTTAGAGGAATAATGGAGATAATGGGAATATGTTGTGTGTGTTTGTTGTGTTAAAAATAAAGGATATTTATAGTATTGATTTTTTTATTAATGCCCAACGGTCCAAATTATGGCCGCTGGGGGAGGGAGGATTGTTGGGAGAGGGACAGGTACTACTTCAAACTTTTAACGCAAACCCGTTAACGCCCGGATGATTGTAAAGGAGAGCAGTGTTTAACGCCCCCGTGCGTTAAAACACCCTTAACACCTTTGGGCATTAGCACCATTTCCGATGGTCTAAGACACAGATCTAAAAGTTGGCTATGACACCATTTGTTCACAAAATTGTATTAACCCCACCTCCTTAACTCTGCAGTTAAAATTGACAAATTTTAATTATTACTAAAAGAAAATTAATATTAGATATTCATACAAAATAATATTTTAAATTTATTTTTTAAAATATTTTAAAAATATTCATTTCTTTATTTAATATATCCTGTAATATTTAATTAATCTAAGATTGAAGATTGAAAATGATTGATTGTAAAAAGTTAAAACTGGACAAATCCTCAAAGATGAAATAGTAGTTAGTTTTATTGAAACATCTCATTTATTTTAAGAAAATACCCCGAAACAGTAGTCCTTGAATATTTTCTTGTTCTTATCAGTATATTCATAGATGTTTACATTTTTTGGTTTCTTTATTTTTCCTTTTTCGTTTCTCTTTTTTCTTCACTTCGCTTCCTTGTTCATAATTTTTTTAATAAAATAATATCTTCATATTAATTTTCCTTGTTCTATTTTTTTGTTTGTTTCAAAAATAGAATAAAAAACAAACAGAATAAAAGAAAAAGAGAACAAAAGAATTAAAGAATATCATAATAATTGAAATGATAAATTATTCAGAGAGAGAGATTAGGGTTTAGTAAAAAAGTACTATTTATTCTTTCATTGATAAAGGATGAGTCTCATCCTTGAGACCCTACACACCCGGCCAGGTCACTAAAAAGAGTTAAATTGGATTTTGATCGTATATTAGTAGGAGTGGAGTCTCCATCTAATAATTGCAAAGCTATGTATATAACATAGTTGCCTCGCAGCACAGTTGACAGGAATCGAACACGGGTCTACCCCTTGGTACTCATTGCCGTTGTCAATTGCGCAACGCCCATCGGCTTATTCATTCATTGATAATTCCATGTGTGATGGTTACATATATAGCTTGCACACCTAAAGAATACAAATCATAAAAGGAAACTAACGAATCTTAATTATAAAAGGTACTCCCTTCGTTCCTAAAAGATTGTCACAATTTGACCAAAAAAGTTAAATTGTGACACCCTTTGACCGTAAATTATGAAAAAAACTTTTTTTGTTATAATGTAAATTTAATAAAATTAAATTTATTTTGAAATATAGATTTGAAACATCAAATTTTAATAATATTTAATTATTTTAAACTATATTTAACTCATGGTCAAAAGGTATAATAATTTAATTAAAAAAGTCTTTTAGGGACGGAAGGAGTAACTAAATCCTAAAAATACGGAGTACTACTCTCTAATACTCTGTATTATTATTATTGTTATTATTATTCTTTGCCGTATTTAACTCTCTATAAAAATACACCAAGGTTCAAGTGACATTGAACCTTGATATCATAGGATGACCCGGGGGCGCTCCGGTGCCCCGTTCGTAAAATTGACGGTTCCTACTTCTCCTAACCCCTCCGGTAAACCCCCCACCCGGCCCGGACCCGAACACCCCCCCACCCCCTTCAACAACAATAATAGTTATAATAATGGGAAATATAGTTCGGCAACACTTTCCTTGCCTCAAAAACCAACAATTCCTCAAGTTGGAAATCCATTAAAGTTCATATTTTACATGTGAATTTTTTAGGACCATAATAATAGCTCAACTCTAATGAGAAAGATTGAAAACGAAAATTACGACATACGTAGTATGTCAATAAAGCATTATTGCCCAAATGACTTGAGAGTACAGACTACAGAGTAACAAGGAGCAAAGGTAATTCAAACGATAGGGGTTTTTCATAATGTGCAAAAAATAAATAACACAAGAGCAGTGGAGAAAATTCTCAAGCATACACATTCCATAAGTTGTCTACAATTGTATATATAATTTGTATTACTACAAAGGAACTCACAAATAACACATGTAATATAATACATTGACAAAGGCACAATGGATCACACACTCACAGAGGAAATAAACACAATCAAGTGTTTGAAGCAAACTGCAAGGGCTTAAGCTCTGATGGTAACAATTCTTCTTCCCCTTTCATAAACTGATGGAATAATAATTCTCACTGTGCTTTACCATGGATTGCAGCAATGGCAGCATCAAGATCCTCATCCAGGAATATGTCCCACTTCCCCTCCCACTTGATGAAGAACTCTGTGTCCTCCAAATACTCCACTCTATGGACATCCCCAGCCGGGGTGAAGAGGTAATCCCCCACACCCAAGTCGAATTTCTCCCCCCCTTTGCTCAGGTTCCACACCCTTTTCCTTCCCTGCAGCACCACCAAGTCATGGCCAAAGGTGTGGTGGTGGGCCGGTTCGACACTCCCGGCTTTGAACTTCACAAAGGCGGAAGTCGGGGTCTCCCTCACCACGGTCATTGACCCGCCCGGCATGATCTGAACCGGGTCGAATTCCCGGTCCTTCACCAGGGAGCAAACCCTACACGGGGTTTCAGAATTTGGGGACGGTTGTGTTTGGTGTTGAGTTCCGATTTTTGACATTTCGGCGATGGAATTGTCTAGAAAGGACTGGATGTCTGAGGGCCAGGGGCCGGATCCGGAGGCGGGGCAGGGGGATTTGAACGGAGTATTGAGGAAGGAATCGAGGATCTGAGAAGCGAGGTCAGGGGAGGTGTTCATGCCGGAAACGGCGAGGACGTTGCAATTGTTGATCGAACGGGCGTTGATTGCCTCGCCGGGAGTGAGGCAGGTGGCGGCGTACACGCCGGGGAACTTGTTGGCGAAGATGGAGACTCCGACGCCGGTGCCGCAGGCAACGAGGCCTCGGATCTCCTCCGCAGATGGATCGGAGGTCGACAGAGCCTGACTGACGCGCCGCCCGATCGTTTCACCGACAGAGTAGTACTTGTCCGTGCCCAGGTCTTCCACATCAACGTTGGAGGCGCGGAGCTGAGCCACCAGAGTGTCCTTGAGGTCGGAGCCAAAGGAGTCGGCTCCGGCAATGATTTTCAGGCGGCGATCGGTTAAACCCATGTGTAGTTTACTTTAGTTTGTGTTTGTTGAGAAAGAAAGTGAATTTGGAGAGTGGAGAATGTGTGGTCATGGGCTCATGGCTAACGATTACACAGTAGGGTAGTAGTAGAATACATAGCCTGGCAGAGGGATTAGCCTGGCTAGACGTACAATGAATGAATTTAGACGCTTTATGGTACTCATTCGTCCCTTTTAAGTTCGTAACTTATATTTTTAAAGAATAAAGCTATTTGTACCCCAAACTTTTGTACCCTATTTGTACACCGTAATTTTGCACTGATACTTTGTGTTGGTGTAAAACTAATTTTTGTGAACGCACCAATACTTTATGTCCATGTAAATTTTTGTTCACACACCAACACTTGTGTCGGTGTAAACCATCAAAATATTTGTGTATAACTGCAGTGTACAAATGAGGTATAATTTTTGGTGTAAGTGTAGCGTGGTCCATTTTTAAAACTTTCACGGTAAATATTAGAAAAAACCAATTTCCTTGTCTCTGTTCTAAAAATTTTTCCCAATTACTATGATTCTTATTCACATACGATCAAACTTTAATTATTTTGTTTACTTATATTCATTAGTTATTTGATAAAATAATATAATCTTGTCACCTTTTAAAATTTAATTTTAAGTAATTTTAATAATAATCTTAACTTTTTGTGCTAAAAAAACCTTACAAGTAACATTTTTAAAAAATCTAAACTTGACATTAAATTTTGAAAAAATTACCTTAAATAGAAGTAACACATAACATTTATTTTCAAAATAGGAGTTCTATACTTCTATCCATAAAATAAGAATTTGCACTGTAGCACTATGACACTATATAGTACTCCCTCCGTCCCACTATATTTGTCCACTTTCATTTTTGCACACCATCCAATGCACTTCTTTAATCCATTTTATCTTGTAATTTATATATTAAAAAATTATAGAAATTATATATTAATAATCTATATGTTAAGACAAATCAAACAAGATCACACATGACTATATTTAGGCTTACACATTGAGAGAATTTGATGAGTCAAAGTGCTTAGATGAACAATTCCAAAAGTCAAAAGTGGACAAATATAGCGGGACGGAGGTAGTAACATCCTACGATATTTTTTGGCACTATACATTGCTATTATTAACATCGTACTCCTATTTTGAAAATAAAGAACATAAGGCTCTTATTTTAGTATTTTGTCCATTTTTACTTCTAGTGTAGTCTTCTCCCCTAATCTTTTGTTCATAATATAATTGTATATTACTCCGGGGTATATGATAGGCAGGTTCCATTGACACAGACCAACGGTACCACTAGCAATGCCCTTATATGATATACCAAATAAATCTTATTATGTACCTTGGACTTGAGATACCAAATTATATTTCAGTCAATAGTATTACCATCTTAATTTGGCCATTAGTGCACAGCCAAATATACTCCGTAGAACAATAATCAGGTCCTAATATAGAGGAACTAAAACCAGACCAACATATGACACTCATCATATCCAAGTCCCCTCAAGAAAGTAGTCATATATGTGTACATTATTCATTACTCTCAACAGCCATAAAATGAGTCTTATGTAAAAATTACTCTATAAATCCCAAACAAATGCGCCCGGTTGGCCAAACATTTTTTTTAATTATAAAGTGACATTATGCGGTTGAGATTGACGCAGAGGAAAGAGAATATAAAAACAAGCTCGTCCTATTCTTTTTGGGACGTACCAACAGAAAAACATAAACATCTTTTTGGGACAGGAGTAGGCAATAAGGAAACGGACAAGTGCTCATTCAACCAACCAAACTCTGTTACCTGTCGTGTTCAGAGAAGTTAAAAAGCACTAGGTGCATAACCAAAGCTTCTGTTGTACAAAGACGACGAATCTGTTAGCTTTTTATTGGATGAGGATGGGAAGAAGACATTTTTTCCTGTACACGCAAGCTACAATACATTCGAACAAATTCGTGGTTGTGAGTGACAACAAATGTGACAAATTTACCCGGGTGGGAGGGGAACGGGACCCACTTGCTTTAACAACTGATGAATCCAGATCCTATACTAAAAGTTGTCCTTGGCTCGGCGGATAGCCTTCAAGGCTTCAGCTTCATCCGCAGAGTCTGGAATGCTTAACGATTTCCTGATCTCCGTACTGAAAGTCCGTAGGAATGGGTTGCATAGCTTCTCCTTCTCTAGGGTGGTTGGAATCTGAAGTCATCAAAGTGCAAATGCAACAAAGATGAGCATATAACGAAGGGTTGTTGGAATTTGAGATCACATCATAGCAAAGAACTCACATATGATTTTAGAGCTTGTTCTCTTCAAACTTATTCTTATTACTTTTTACTTATTTCTATTGGAATCAAACCAGGTCATATCAGAACTTATCCAGATCAGAACCAACAATATCAGGTAAAGAGAACAAGCCCTTAGTAGAACAGAGGAATATACATGCTTCTGACGAAATGCAATAAAGTTCATACAACAAATTGCATTGTACATATAGTACTATATCAACAGAGAATATCAACAAAGATCACATATAATCAGTTAACAAGCATATCAGATTAATGGAGCTTCAAACTGCAAATTATATATTGTACATCCCTTGGCATTTTTTTACAATTCCTCATTCTTCCCCTGAAGAATGCTCATTTCCTCATTCTTCCCCTGACATGTTGAATGTTATTATTCTTAGGATTGACCCTAAGAAGTTGGGGTGGGGGAGGGGAGGGATCCAGAGTGAGGCATGAGAAAAGTTGATGGCTCTAACCATTTGAGCACCTCTCACCCTTTGTACATGTTGATTTTATAATATCAATACCATCTTTGTACTAGGTCTTAACTAACTTACCCAACTAGTTTAAAAATGTTACTCGGGTACTTCAAGATTTGGACATACAATTTACGAGACCCTCACTTTTGGAAACTCACACAAAAACCCTACATATTAAGTGATAGTGTGATATAACTTAGAGGACCTCATATGTTGGCCTGGAGCATGATCACAATTTCAAAATGACAAAGATAACCTTTAGAGTATTATAAAGAGGTACGTACAGGTTTGACCAAACAATTTCGGAGGCTCTCAAATCTGGAAACCTTGAACAATTAAGAACCTTTTTGTAAGAGTATATTTGGCATATTGCAACTCCAACCATCGTTCGACTGATGTAGAGTCCTCAATACTGAATCATTAAATAGCTGGGATCCTTTGTGTGAGTTTCAAAAAGTGCCGGTTTCCAAAATTTTATGTCCAAACCTGGAGATACCTGGGAGTAATTTTTTTTGCAAGTTTACCCTATACATTTCTTTCCACTAGCCCCAATATCGTTGGAATAAGGTGGTAGTGATGATGAATGCATTGTAGAAACTAAAAATACTACATTGTTCTTTTATCAAAGATTCAATTGGTAAGAAAGACTAAGTCCGTAGAAAAGATTAACTCAAAAAACAATTTTGACAGTACAGATGTGAACATAAACTCAAGCTACAAGCACTCAAGCAGCATACCAAATTAACGAGGTGTGCCAACAAAAGGCAATTTTTGAAATTTCCATTGTGCAAATTTGAAACATAAACACTAACAAAAGTCAAAAACCATATTAGATGGAAATAAATAGTGCCTAATTATTTGCACACACAGATACACACACACACAAGCAGCAGCAGCAGTAGTAGTAATAGTGGTAATAGATTGTAATAGTAGTGGTAATTACTGTGGGTAAGCCCTTCTTGCGAAGATTTGCGACTTGGAGAGCATATGATTGCAACTCCTCATTTCCAGGTTCTATAGAAAGTGCGAACTTTGAATTACTCTGCAAATATATGTGATACACTAAGGTTGAAACAAAATCTGCATGATGAAAGAGATACAGAACACAAAAGAAAGATAATTTAGTTTACCCAAGTGTATTCATGGCCACAATAGATATTGGTATCATTGGGTAGCAGCATAATCTTTCTCAGTGAAGAGAGCATCTGCAAAACAAAGAACGAAATATAACCAACTACACTTCCTTTTAGAGGTCCAAATTTCATCTACCACATCAACATATCTTTACGATCTATCACTCGGTGCTATGATTTTCTTCGTGTTTTCCATTGGCAGGCTTTTTAAGAAAATGCAATTGCAAAAACAAAACAAGTTATGAGACGGAAGTAGATATTTATCTATCATAGTTCTACCCGATTTACTGGTTCATCAAAAATGTATAGGGTGAGCAATTACTTATTGGGGCTATCAAGGAGGTTATTGGGCATCCTAATTGCAGCCAAGGAAGAAAGACAATCTTGTCTATCATACAAATACAATAACCGTGATATAGTACAAACAATTTCAAATCACATATAACATATATAAATGTTAGCTGACCAAAAAAAATATTATGTATGTTAGACTCAGAGTTTGTACAAAGATGCAGCTCAAGGAAAAAATAAGTACAAAACTACAAATATTAGGTCATCACCTGCTGAGGGGTTCCATCAAACAGCTTGCCACATGATAAGCTAAACAACGTGTCTCCCGTGAAAATTGACTTGGATCCTGGGAAATAGAAACTTATGTGGCCTGCCACATAAAAAAAATAGCATCAAGAATTTAAGATCAAAGATTTTAAAAGACAAAAAACATAGAAACTAAAAGGTCAGTGTTTCATATCAGTAATGAATCTAATGATATAAGAGTTACATCCTTAATTTATAAGAATCAAAAATATAAAAATTAGGAATTAATAGATTTCATCTTATAATATACTCCATGTGTCCCATATCTTTCTTCCCATTATGAAGAACATGCAAAAATCCCATGTCCTTTAATTTTTTTATTTACAAATTGCTATCGAAATAAAATGTACAAATTACACAGTTTGAAACTACTACACCAAAAGTTCTACAAAACAAAAGGTGACAAGAACATTTTATTTTATCAAATGATCAATGAAAACATGCATAAAAACATAGGTTATTGAGAGACCATAATAGTAACTAGGAAGAAAGATGGGACAGAGAGAGTATTAAAAAAATAACACCTACGCACCATTGAAAGACAATTGATTACAAGATATTTTGTCAAAGGTGGGAGTGGTCTCTGTGGAGGATAGGCTGTATGAAGCTAGAGCTAGACTGAGATACTTTGGCCACGCACTGAGAAATACCCAAGTACGGATGTTCTTAGAGATATTAGAATTGTGTGCATAACTACATTTGTAACCAGCTTGATCCGTATGTGATATGATTTATACGATCGGTTTGAAGGAAGTGATGAATATTGTAACCATAAGCCTACTGGTAGCAACCTCTGTTACCCGTATAAAATGTGTACACTTATATTTGCCATATTAACATCCCGTATATGTATTTTTGGAAATTTTGTCAGCCATACGGATTTATACACATTTTTCTATTCTTCCATACGCAAAGAAAAAGTATGATACACTTATTTTTTGGAAAAAACACATGGAGTCATTGAAAAAGCATAGACCAGGGTTTCGACTTGTTATCAGGTAACTCTATATCTCGCCTCCAAAGCTTCACGCTTGCGACGAGAATGACTCTTCCTAACTCCAAGTCTTCAATCTTGTTAGATTTAATCGTATTGTTTAATTCCTGGTCATAAGTTATTAGTTTGGATTTAAATTTTAAAAATAAAAGGGACAGTTAAGGGTAGTTATTAAAGGTAGTTATTTCTAGAAGTTGTATTAGTTAGTAATAGATGTGTTGGTTAGTACCAAAAGTTGTGTTGGTTGATGTCTATAGATAATCCAGGAACATAGAATTCCTGAATGTAGTTCACAATAAAAAAATCAGAACTCTATTCTGCATTTGATTTGTTCTTCCTATTATTTTTCTACAATTGGTATCAGAGCGTGTGCAATCAGCGGCAAGAAAAGGGAGATCTGCCTTGACAACAGATCAAAATCTTCGACAAGATTTTTCCTCGCCTAGGACAAGAATAGCAAGTGGCTAGATTTTTCCTTTGGCAGAAGCATTCCAACCAAACAGTACGTGAAAAACGAATCAGCGGGGTTGCTTTCGTTTAGTTGCTTGGAAGACAGAAAAGCAGGGGCTTGTTTAGGGGCTTGTTTTCTAGTTGGTGGTTGATTGCAAGTGGCTTACAACCCGGGAAGGAATCGAAAGTTAAGAATTTTGTGAAAATTGTCAAAGGAATTAAAGTCGTGCAATGGAAGACAACAGACACATTGTGACTACAAGGGAAAATAGTTCACTATCTTTTCAGGTTCCAATTCTAACTGCTACAAACTACACGATTTGGGCCGTGAAGATCAAAGCAATTTTTAATGTTAATGGGCTTTGGGAGGTGATCGAACCAGGAACAGAAATCGATCCAAAGAAGAACAATATGGCAATAGCATATCTATTTCAAGCTTTGCCACAAGAGATCGTACTACAAGTTGCTCAGTTTACGGAAGCAAAAGAAATTTGGGATGCTTTGAAGACTCGCTTCGTTGGTGTTGACAGGGTTAAAGCGGCGCGATTACAGACACTTGAATCAGATTTTGAGACTCTAAAGATGAAGAACAATGAGTCACTTGATGATTTTGCTGGTAAAATTAGTCAACTTGCAACACAAGCAAACAACCTTGGGTCTGCATTTGAAGACAAAAGATTGGTTCGAAAGCTTTTGGGTTCTGTGCCTGAAAAGTTCATACAAATCGTTGCTGCAATTGAACAGTTTGCTGACATTAACACAATGCCGTTTCAAGAAGCGGTGGGAAGATTGAAAGCATTCGAGGAACGCATCAGAAAGCCAACTGAGGAAGGAGATACACATGGTAAACTATTATTCACTAAAGGTGATGGAAAAGAGAAGGTTCAGGAGCAGAAATGTGAGCATTGTGGTTGCTGGAGCTCAAACCGAGAAGACTTTGAACGTGGCCGAGGTAGAGGTCGGGGTCCGGGAAAGGTCAGGATGGCGGTCAGCTTCAGCGGGATAAGAGTCACATTAAGTGTTTCAAGTGCAATGAGTTAGGACATTTTTTGAACGAATGTCCAAAATGGGATCAAAAGGAAGACATTGCAAATTTGATTGAAGATGATGATGAACCAACATTATTGTGAAGATTGGTGTGAACAAACAACGATTAAGGGGGTGATTGTTAGATTTAATCGTATTGTTTAATTCCTGGTCATAAGTTATTAGTTTAGATTTAAATTTTAAAAATAAAAGGGACAATTAAGGGTAGTTATTAAAGGTAGTTATTTCTAGAAGTTGTATTAGTTAGTAATAGATGTGTTGGTTAGTACCAAAAGTTGTGTTGGTTGATGTCTATAAATAATTCAGGAACATAGAATTCCTGAATGTAGTTCACAATAAAAAAAATCAGAACTCTATTCTGCATTTGATTTGTTCTTCCTATTATTTTCCTACAAATCTGTCGGTGCCTTCATTGATTCCCGACCATCGGTGCCACTGTGCAAAGGTAGAGTTGAGTGAACCAGCGAAGTGCGACCCGACACAAAATTGAGTAGCTCTACCCCTAACTAAAAGAGAGGTGCAAAATTAGAGTTAAGGTGCAACCGTGTGTAGAAACTCCAGCATCTGTAGAGCTAATTGATGTCCAACAAAGCTTCAGCTTCTTTTGCTAATTAATGTTTCTCCTTATTATCTAGTTAAGCTTCATCATTCTGGTCTTTAATAACTGGTTCTTTTTTAATTAACCGCCATATCCACTGTTTGTAATTAAATTTTTTGAGTAATGTTTATTGTTTAACATGCCCTCTGCTGCATGCTTTTTGCTGTTCCCAAACAGAGATAGGCAGATATCTTCTGCCTGAGTTCCTATTGCCTACAATTTCTCAATTTCCCAACTTCTTACTTCAAATAGGAGAGTGAATATGCTCAGAGCTAAATATCCCCTTTGGGAACATTTAGCCTTTCCCAACTTCTTGCCAGATGAACTTATAGAGATGGGTGTTGGATGCTGAAGAGAAAAATATCCACAAACATGGTTTTAGTTGAGATGAAAATAATAAGACAAATGTGGCAATGCCATCGATCTATATTTACAAATCAGCCTTTTATGATAGACAGGTACAGATGATAAAGGGAAATTGAAAAATTGACTAAATGGTCAAGTCCTGTGAAATGCAGATCTAGCTATCTAAGAAGTTACATGTAAATATGACTATGAAATAACTAGCCTAGAAGTAATGAAAGAAAAAATAGAATACATAGTAAACCACATATAAATTAATAGAGAGGTATAAATAAGATTACTTGAGCTGAATCTACCACTAAAATGAGCTTAATATAGGGCATGACTGCTAACTAAATGAAGGAAGTTTCCAAAAAATTCAGATATCAAATATAAAGCATGCTAACAGAACCTTCTGTGTGGCCTGTAGTTTCAAGGACAACAACTTCATGGCCTGCAAACATCCATTTGTCCCCATCACGCAGTGCTATATCAATGCCAGGAATTCTTCCTTGATCAGTACTGGATCCAATTACCTGGAAGAATATGTAGCCCACCAAAACTCAACTTTAAAAAACCAATCAGTCCCATGGTATAAATGTAAAAGAAATTAGAAAACCATCAGTCAAACAGTAAAACTATAAAAGCAATTAATGTGGTCCTACGACTTACTTCTACCCATGGTGCCCTAAGGGCAATGGCAAGTGGGGAACTCATACTTGAGGCATGACCTCTATTTTTTTAAAAAAAAGAAAATTAAAAAAAGAAATTCTAGAGCAAAATAATGTGCAAGTCATATTATTGGGAGTTGGAAACTAGATTTAAAATGGAGACAATTTTTTGCAATTATAGGACTAGAGCATTCTAAAAGTTGGACTAAACCCTCTAAGAAATTATGAATCACAAAATGTTGCGGTAATGGATACCAAACCAAGCTCACCTAAACCTTGGTAATAGAAAATAGGGTTAACGAACTAAAATTTTGCACAATACTATGAACTTCTTTATTCGACTGAGGATTTTGGAACTCAGAAATCACCTTAAAGAAAGTATGAAAAACTCACACAGCTGCCAAAGGAAACAACTAACAAACGAAGCACATGTATGCTATATCCCTTTCAAATACATAACATTCCAACCCCAAGATATCATTAATTAGGTCATGATTCATGATTCATGAATCATTATATAATGGGTCACTGTTGCATACATATACTTTTGTATATTGTGTATATTTAGCATAGATTTTATGCTTCAATTAAGTTGCGAAAACAATCCTAAAACAGCACCTTCGTGATTGTAAAAAAAATCACTTCATCATATACCATATTAAGAAGTAAGAAGTAAGAACATAGATGAAGTAAGTGCTTGCAAGTTCTGTAGCAATTTAAATCGCTAAACAGGTGTAGATAAATTTATATCCATTTGACCATCTGGAATACACATAAGCCTCATGAATTTGAATTCAGAAGAACTGTCATACCTTTGCCCCATACCTTGCTTTTAATTCCATGTTCCCGCCAGTATGATCATAATGGTGATGTGTGTTCAGTATGTAAGTCAAATTTCTATTGCTACTACTTAAAGCATCTATGATAGGCACAGCTTCAGAAGGGTCAACAACTCCAACAGTACCCGTATCCACATCATGCAGTAAATATGCATAGTTATCCTTTAAACATGGCACCTAACAAATAACATAGCAATAGGAAATAATAAAATGATTAATTTCATTGAGATATTTCTTCTGGATTTCTTCTAACAAACAATGTGAGCAAAACTAGATGTAATAGGTCACTATTGTCCTAAAAGAACTGGCAAAAACGCAAACACTTAAATAGTATTTACAGTCTACAAAATCTTCAACTCACCTTTGTGAAGTACTTTCTCCACCTCCTTGGGTTGGAGATGGTTAAAGATAAGACTCCATGTTTTCCAAATTAAACTTTCCATTTCCTTTTGCATGGAGTTCAAGAAAAACTAAAGCTGTGTAGTTTAGATTTATGCAGATGAGAGAGAAATAATGTGGATCATCAATCATTTCTTTAAAAGAAATGAGAAATTTATTTCAGAACAACATAAAAAGGAGTGGTACCTGGAAAGTCTATTTTGGGATGGAGGGAGTATATGTTAAGGCACTATACACCTAGTACTTGTTAGATTCTTGATTAATGTGAGGGTGTGATATCTCATCACTCCATTGCAGAAGTTTAACTAGGATATCCATAAAATCAGGCCCGTGTATAAGTGTATTCGGAAATCCATACAGTTTCACAATGATAACATGCCTCCAAATTTCATGTAAATAGATAATCACAGAACTCGGCCAAACATTTACAAAATCATCTAATACTCATACAAGAAACTTAGAAACTTTATCAGATTTTGAGCATGTGCTCACACATAATTGATGTTTTTAAAGTTACTAACCAATTCTATGTGCAGAGTGGAAGACACATTTGTCATGCTACAGAAATGGGAAACTCTAAGAGTCCGGCTAGCTCCACGCAATGTCTTGAATGGTATTGAGAAGAGTCTCATAAACATATACAATAGATTCTTCCTAGCAGAAATCTGTCTCATGTCAGGCCAGACACCAATGCTTCTCCCCGTCTACAGAAACCAATTAAATACCACAAAAACACAAGAATTGGGTATCATGATTAAAAAAAATAAAAAAGTTTTGTATAAAATGAACTGCATGTAGATGATTAAAGCAAAATAAATAAGTCCTAAAATAAATTTTGAATACGTATAACATGAATCCATCACATATCGAAACAATCAATCACGCATCATATATTTTGATACGTGACTGATTCATATTATATATGAATCAATCACGTATCAAGAACCGGGCAAAATGATTAAAGCAAAACAAATCAACTGCATATCATGTGAATTTCACATAAACGAAACCTCTTTTTTAAGGACAAGGAACAGTATATATATTATTCCGTCTCTAGATCTTTACAAAAATGAAACTATTAAAACTACATAAAGGCGACTCACAGATTTCGCATTCAATTTAAAAATAATCACCATGCCCACGCATAAATAGTACAACTACAAGAATCTGCAACTTTTAGGAGATGAAAGGAATATATGTTGACATTCTGCATCAATTAATTTAAAAATAAAGCTAAGGATCTTTCACACGCGCAGACAAAACCCCTAATTCCGAAGTTCATGGCGTTAAACACATCCGATATGCAGTGAATGAAGAGAGAGCGTACCCTAGAACCAGGAAGAGGGAGAGAGGCCATGGCGGAGGAAGCGTTTCTGCAGATCATTTGCATTTTCGCATCATTTGGTTACAGCTTTGATTGAAGACAGACTGTCTGTGGGGTTTGGGCACCCGCTTTCACACTTATTAATTACTCATTAGTCCTTACCACAGCTTCCAAAAGTCCAAACGGGTAGCTCAAATCTGGTTCTAATTCGGTTCCTTCCAGCTTGGATTTATTCGGGTTTTTCTTAAGTTCGAGTTTGAAAATATTTACTTGTGATTATCATTAATATCACATCAATCTCTTACACGAGTTATATTTACGTTACTAAACTAAAAGCATTTTTCAATAATACGGATTTATAAATGCACTCGAAAGAAACTAATTACGAAAATCTTTTAACGATTGTATATATACTATGAGAAGTTTTTTGCTTATTCATAGAGTTTTTATTTACAATGTAATATTTTCGACCAAGTTACACGGTTGGTGTTACTTACCATTTCAACATTCTTTATTCACTTAAATTTTTAATTATCAACGTGCATCTATGTTTCTTTCTTACCAAAACTGTGTATAAGAAAAACACTTTATTTAAAATACTTATAAAGTATAAATGGAAACAGAATTCTAATTTTAATTTCGCTACTATAAGAGTTTAAGGTAGGAGAATATTTTTGTGCTCAAGGCAACGCTTTCAATTTTTTTAAAGACAATAATTTTTTATACACGGTAATCGCAAAAAAAGAACATACCTTTTATTATTATTATTATTATTATTATTATTATTATTCCTTATAATAAAGTTACCTTATTTAAAATACGTATAAAGTAAAAAGGAAACATAATTATTTTTTGATCGATTTTTGGTGTTTCTTACCATTTCGACATTCCATTTTTAACTTAAATTTTTAATTGTCAGCATGTATTTATGATTCTTTCTTACCAAAACCGTGTATAAAGAAATCACTTTATTTCAAATAACTAAAAAGTATAAATGGAAACACAACTGTGATTTTAATTTCGATACTTTAAGGTATGAGAATATTTTTTTGTTCATGGCACGCAATACTTTCATGTTTTTTTTTCAAACACGGTAATTTTTTATACACGGTAATCACGTAAAAGGAACATACATTTTTAATAATATTATTATTATTATTTTTATGTTGCTTATTAGCACATAACAATCAAAGTCATAAACTTATTACCTTCCCGGGGCTGATGAGTCGCAAGAGATATGGTGCAGCTTTTGGAAACCATGGGTTTATGATCCGAAGATCGATTTTAAAACCATACGCTACGAAACCAAAAGGTAACACCCCAACCCGCATAACCCAAATTCTCGGATTAACGAACCGGGTTGTTACTAAATTGGTATCCAAAACACAGCTTAACTTTTCAAACAATTCAAATAAACATTTCAAAACATAATTTAACAAACATCGGAGTAATATTTAAAATAGTCGCAGAAGCTTAATTCATAATTCAAAACACAACTTGGGAACTATGCCCGAAATAGTAATAAGTTAATTTAAATAATAAGTAATAATTCGAAGTCGTCGAATACACACACATCTAGGCATCTTCATCGCCCTCCGGGATTGGCTCCAAGTTCCTCATTCCCTAGATTACCTACGTCTAGCAAAGGAAAAAACGCTACACTCTCAGCATTGAAGCTAAGTAAGAAATATCTAACATACAGCTTTACCCATAAATGATCCCACTAGTTCATATCATCATACGATATCATGCACGCAACATGCTTATCAACAATCATAACCGTATTCAGGATATATCATGCATAATCAATACCATAATCACTCATGAGATACAAATAATAATGATATAACGTCATTTTCTTTTCTCTTTGATTTACTTTACTTTCTTTTTTCGTACTTGGCTTTTAACCTATGTTAGGTTAAAGCTTAACTGTATTCGACTTGGCTATGGGAGTCATGACCTTCCCCTTCAGAATAAAGGTCAAGCTCAAACTAGGGGTGAGCGTGGTACGGTATGGTATGGTATTTAGCTCGTACCGGCAGCGTACCAAATATTTTGGTTCGGTATGGGATGTTACGTTGTACCGATCCCAATCCCGAAGCATCGATTCGGAATGGTTCGGGATGGTTCGGTACGAATCGGGATGAAAATATAAGTACCTAGTTTACATCATAAAATGTAACAAAACCTTTTATTTTTTAAAAATTGAAAGTACATTTAACCAAAGAAAGATAAAAAATTTAAAAATGAAAAAATAAAATACAAGAAATGCTTATCAAAGTTAGTTTATATTTCACAAACTAAAGAGAACAGGTGATAACAAAGTATTATTTCAAATATTTGTTAATATTCTTATACTCATCTACAAAAAATAAAAACTCTTGTTAAAGTGCAACTTAAACATAATGAAATTGAACTAAATTGTTTATATACATTTTTTATTTAATGAAGAAATATAAAAAGCTTATTATTTTTATAATATATTAGTATATATGTTCGGTTCGGGAATTTCGGTATGGGAAGTAACATCGTACCGTTCCCAAATACCAGACCGACCGTTCGGTTCGGTACGGTTAGATTTCTTTTCAATACTTTACCGGTTTGGTATTTTTCAGGTCGGTATTCTCGGTTTTTCCGAGAAATGTCAGGATCGGTTCGGTCCTTGCTCACCCCTAGCTCAAACCAACTCGGGAGTTCCTCGTTGGGTGGGTGAGATATAGTACTACATGACTCTAATTTACTAACTTATGGAATACCTTGCCACTAATCCATTCAAGTCAGTCCCTAGGGTTTATTCTAGGTGAATCATCCTTTATTCATTAGCAATTCATAATATAACGTTCATACATCAAACAAGTATCAATCACCACGTTTAACATGCACGGACAGCGGTTTAACACTGGGTGTTGACACCCATATTTACCGTCATGCAAGACACAAAGTCTCGGAATCGATCCTTGACACAAACAGAAGATTCGGACTAGTTCAAGTATCACACGGTACCCTTGGCAGTAAGGGGTACGATCCCACGGTACCGGGGTACCGTCCCACGGTACGTGGGTACCGATCGTGTAACTAAAAAACTCCCTTCTGGTAGGCTGTCACGGTAGCCTCTACCGACCCGGCGGTAGGGCCTACCGTCCATCCGGTACCTAGGTACCGTTTGCTGACAGATACCGACAGAGCGAAGGAAAAACGAGGAGGGTGGCGATAGCGAGGTACCGTGCCGACGGTACCCACTTACCGTCTGTCGCGACGAAACCCAGACTTATACCGTCTTTGTTTTTACCCATCAAACCCACATTAAACTCAAAAGAACAAGCTTCAACAGATTCTAAATTGATAAGCAAGCATTATCTAACATGCTCTTAAAAGATTCTAAACTAAATTATGCTTCTCAAACCGTAAACGACATAAACGAGGCATAATTCACGTAGGTTCAAGTAGATCAACCGCAATGATTCTACGAACGTAAGATTCAAACATGACTATAACCATACGTTAGATGTCCACGTACTCACCTCGAATTTGACGATTAAGGATTACCGAAATAGTGTTAATGACGGAGAATCGGACGACGAAATCCTCTTCCTTCTTCTTCTTCTTCTTCTTCTTCTCTTCTCTTCTTCTTCCTCCTTTGTTCTTCGTTGGTGCTCTGCGTTCCTCTGCTACTTTCGGTCGAGAGAGAGAGAGAGAGAGTTTACGTAAATGTGAGATATGGCATAAGGGGGTTGTGCGTGTAAGGTTTTATTTATACTTTTGGGGGTTTGGCTCCGTATTAACTTGACGTACCTACACAAGGTATAAACCTTATTATCAAACGAAGAATATTTTATAATTTTATTGAGTCCGTCTCAGTTAGTAATTAACTATTTTTAATTAATTAATTCTGATAGGCCGGGTTTTGGGTGGTTACAGATAATAATACAAAATCATATATAGTAAATCATATTTATACACAAAAAAAGAAATAATAAAAAATATTTATATTACTCTCTACTCCCCCTCCACCCGTTCTACAAAACACTTCCACTTTTTTTTCACAAAAACACTTCTACTTTCTATTAAAAAACTATTTTTACCATACTTTTTCTTATCCTATATATCACATCACACTTTTTTTCTAATAATTTATCCATCACATCCTATTTTTATCTATCACATCAAGAACAAAATTGAAAGTCAACTATAATTTAACAATTTCTTATTTTAACACTTGGTCAAAATTGAAATTGTTTTCAAGAACAAGGGAGTATAACATTTTTTTAAACTTATTTTGCATACTAAAATACATGATTTCAAAAAAGAATAAGCTTACCATAGAGTGGTCATGTCGGATAGGACCTACTATTAGTGGTTAATTTTATACTCCATCCACTTCTAAAAGATTGCACTATTTGAATTTTTGGGTCAAATTATGACACATTTTGACCGCAAATTATAGAAAAAATATAATTAATTAAAATATAAATTTAGCACAATTGAGTTTATTTTAAGATAAAGTTTTGAAATATCAAATTTTTATAATATTTAATTATTTTAAAATATATTTAATTCATTGTCAAAAGATGTCACAGTTTGACTAGAAAAGTCAAACTATGGCAATCTTTTACGGACGAGGAAATATTTAATTAACCGTTTTTTTGTTCAAGACCTAGCACTTTTAGAGTGGGCCTCGAGTCAAAAACAAATTTTGGGCGCGGGGAGGGGGATAGGGCTGTCAATGCATAACAAAAAATTTGATTACCGTCCGCATATGTATCCGTTTAAACGAAAATAATATGCTTTCGTTTTAAATGGATATTATCTGTATCCGATTAACAATATCCGATTACTAAACAAATACAGGTTTGATAATTATATATCTGATCCGTTTAAATAATTGTTTGTCTAAATTTCCATTTATCCAAATATTGAATTGAAGTTATTTTAATACGTTAATCATCTACCCAACCCATTATACATTTATATTTGGCCCATGTATCTAAGAATATATACCTTGCCCTCTAAAAACCCGTTCTTTTACATTGGAAAAAAGAGCTAGATATTAAAAGATACTGGAAGAAATTGGAAAAACTTAAAAAAAAAAATAGAAAACCTAAAAAATTTTAAAAAAATTTATTTAAGTGTATTTTATATTATTCTCATTCTATTCCTTGTTGTTATAAATTATTATTCTTATCATCATCATCATCATCACGTTATCTTAATAAATGCTTTTAAGATAAAAAAGTACTGTTATTTTTCATACAAAAAATTACTTTTGCAAAAAGAAAATAATTATAATATAAAGTTAGCATAAATATCAAAACATTAAATTTTAAAAAGTTATTGTGGTTATGTTGCACCTCAATTTATACATGTAGTATTTATTATAAAATAATATATATGTAGTTATACTTTATATATTACAAGATTTTGTTTTAAATATCAAACATGTCACATAATGTAATCAAATCTATTTTTCTTTCATGATTGACATTTTTATTTTCATTGTAACTCCTATTTTTGGAATAAAGACATCTAACTTTAATTTTTGTGCATTTTTTATGTTTTACTCCTATTTTACCCTTTTTCTCTAAACTATTTTGACTTTCATTTTTTTTAATAAAAATTAGAAAAATGAAAAACAAAATTTAATTTTGAAATAAATAAAAATGAGAAAAAAGTGAGTAATAAAGAGAAAGGTGAGTGGTCTTATATAAATTTAGATTAGTTAAACATTTTATGTAACTATTTTATCCATAATTTTTTAATATAGTTTAAAATATTGATGTTTTTCTATTTTATCATGTAGATTAATATACAAAAAAAATTATCTTATTCATATTAAAAAGTTGAAGAAAAAATAATAATGAGTTTGAATCGTAAAAATAGTGAGATGAAAAAAATAATTCATAAATTATAGTTATGAAAATAATCTTACTATATACAATGATAAGATGTGATTTTGTACAGTGTTCCCGCCCAAATAGAAGGCCGCACAGGACGGGTTTGGGAATGATTTTGCTAGGTCGGTTTTTGGCCTTCTATATGGCTAATCTAATAGGCCTCTCAGTGTGTTGCCTAATCAACTTTATCAACTTTGTATGTTGTTCAATCAGTAGTATTTTGCTCCATAATGTGGTGTGTTCCTCCATAAAGCAAAGTAATGATACTTTAGGTCAAATCAATTAAATAAATATATTTGTACAATCCAAGCATTTAATGTATAGGTAATATAGGTAATTAATTCATTCACTAGGTATATATATAAATCACCCACTTTGCTTCACTGATATTGGTAGGAAGGTTTACATTTCAAATTTCGTATTGAAATAACATCAAGTTTAATTTAGAAGTTAGAACCAACTAAAATATTTTTGAATTATTAGTCTGTGCTCGGTAAAAGGTTACTCCAAACAAAATGTTCAACTAAAGAGTAGACCACATATTGAACAATAATTGATGCAAGTGTTAAAAATTATGTCCGTAAACATTTGGACCACAAGTTACCTACATTTTTTCCATAACCTGAACTAAAATGTCATGTGAAAAAATATAATCTAAAAAGAGAGTTCAGCAAATTAAACGCAACCCCAAATGAGAGAGTATCGAGTGCCCAACAAACATCTAAGAGATTCCAAGTACTCCAAAAACCTTCATGTGTAAATATCAATTACAAAGTGTTTATGTTTTTGGTATAATACTTCATTTTTCATTATAAGTTATACTCCCTCCGTCCCATTTTAAATTGCCTGTTTGCCTTTTTTCTCCGTCCCAAAATAAGTTGCCTGTTAGTTGTTTTCGTAAACTTTTAAAAATAAAATACCTAAACTACCCCTAAAATAAGTCATTCTTCTTCACCTTATTTTCTCATTCATCATCACCCCTTCTAAAAAGTAATGACAATTTTGGAAAATCAACCCTATTTTTTATTTTTCTTAAATATGCCCAAAAATCAAAACAGGCGATTTAAATTGGAACGGAGGGAGTAACATAAAAGTTTTTCATGTGAAATACTCATGTTACCGTTGGAAAACTGGGCAGGGGGCTGGGGCTTGAGACCTTAGCACCGGTGTCTGTCTATTTTAAAAAAATCTGATTGTGCATCGAGTACAAATCTAGTTTTGATAATGTAAAAGGTTTCAAGGGCATTTTTAAAAAATATCCCATACTTTGAACTCGATGAATCAATCGTTCATATATATATATTAGTAAAATATTCAAGCAAAGCAAAAATACAAGATTTGAAACAGGAAAATCAATTAAGCTCCCAAAACTAACCTAATTGAAGAATTACTCTTATGAGTATTACACAGAAGAGTAAAAGCAGAGAGTCTCCTACAAAAGCATATCTCATTCATTGTGCCCCCCCCCCCTTCCAGTATTAGTCTTTGTCATTGTCTGGTTTCTCAACCACCACCAGCGGAATAGACTCCAACTTGCTCCTTGGGGTCCGCGGAGTGCGCGGAGTTTCCTGCGCTTGCTGTGAGATCATCTGCCTTATGTACCCATAGAAAGTACAGCCGACCAGTGTCACTGCGCAGCCAATGGCGTTCAACGCTGAGATGGGGTTTCTGAATATCAACCACGAGCAAGTAACCGCAACTGCGACCTGTGGGCACCACTCGTCAGCAACAAAGCAGATATATAAGTGTCTTGATTGGGGTTCATGTCAACTACTATTACACAGTTGGTCGGTTACGCGTGTACACGTAGACGTGTAAATCGGGTCGGGCATGGTTCGAGTCATTTCCGAGTTCGGGTTGAAAGCCGCATCGGCCCTAACCCTAGATATGCAGGTTCATGTTGACCCAGCAGGTTGATAACACCTTTTAAATCACTTTATAAATGACTTCTCTTTATTTTATTTTTTAGCTTAAAAGTTGTATTATGATCAGTAGTAATGCCATCACTTGAACTAATATGAAAACTTAAGGTTAAAACTTGAAATATTGAACAGACGCTCTTCTTGAGAAATGTATATATTTTGAAATCATAATACTCTGTATTATCATGTTAGCATAGCATGTATACAAGTATACAACACAATGTATAAACTAAATAATATACGGAGTAAATCATTTTTCTCAAATATATAGATGAGATTCAACTTTTGAGGTCAACTCAACTGCTCCAACCGGGTCGGTTGGGTTTGACTTAATAAAATCACGGGTCAAACAGGTTTGGGTCATTTCGGGTCTAAAAAGTCATGCTCAAAACTTAAATATTTGGGTGGGTTTGGGTCGGGTCAAACATTTACAGGTATATGTATAAGTTAAAATGAGTATGAAAATCTCCCTCAGTTTTAGATGCTGTTTTAAATACTTGAACAAGTGGCGCATTGATGTGCACATTAAATTTAACCAAAGCGACAAACAGCGTGTGACAATCAGCCATACTGCCCTTACCTGTAGGGTTCTTAGCTCCACTTATTTGAAGACATGAGAACTCTTTACTCAAATGTATTTCCAATACAAATAGGATGTCATGAACAAAAGATATGCAATAGGAGAAAATATATAGAATGATACCTTAAGGTTTCCAGCAACATTAAACGTGACAGCAGTTGTAGAATGGATGACATAGAAGATCGAGAAGTTCAGACAGAATGCTAGCACTCCGGAGCCAATTATGATAACACACGATGAAAAAAGTGTGGGGTGTGTGTTGAACCATCCAATAACCCCTGATCCTTCTAATAGTAAGGCTGGTACTGCCAAGATCATAGTTGCAAAAGGAGCCATGTAGAACACCGTATTTATGCTGAAGGAAATTAATGTTAGTGACCACTGACCAATTATCATTTACGAAGAAGAAAAAAAAAGGCATAAGGCAATCATTTCCATCTCAAACAATTGAAGGAGATTATAAAAAATCACATTCAGCAGGCTATGAGAAGTAGAATAATAACACAACCTTTACGGTATGCATCAGGTATGATGCTACATTGTACTTTGTGAAAAAGTCGAAAGGGACAAAGAAACACAAATTCAGACAATGAAAACGGAAAACTTAAACAAGTCAATGAGTATTAAAAAAAGCCCTTTCATTAATTTTCATATACAATCCTTGCACTTTGACATTTTCATAGGGTCCAAGCTGTAACCACCCACCGTCACGAAGATCTATAATCAACAACATGAAGGGTAGCCTCTCTTGCGAAAGTATCACCAAAAAATAGCACTCAGTCACACAATATAAGGGGGGGGGGGGAGTTTAACTTTTTTGTTTTTCTATTGAATCGGTACTAGGGTAATCAGCCGTATAATATGAAGGCAAAGCAGACACTGAGTATATGCTTTGTGCCTAGACAAATTTCAAACGCTACTTCCTTTCCTAAATATACATCATTCCTACATTCCTCATTTCCTTACTACATTATTTTCTCCATAATTATATTCCTATTATTTCATTTTCAAACATTCCTACACATTTCTAAATGGAAGCAGGAAATGAGTTCATGTATAATGTGTATAAAAATCAATACATGATAATAAAAAAGTCCAGTTATTGGAATTTAGTTTGCAACTTGTAAACATTGCATGCTAAAAAAATGTACCTATGGGAAAATATAGATTGCCTGAGCTACGGAAGTGTTCGAAGACATTTTGTCTACCACACCTCCAACAGAGATGTACAATTATGGCAACAACAACCAAGACCAATGACAATAAATGTACTATTGTATTCTGAAATAAAAGTAGTCTTTTTAATTATTATGCAATAAATTTATACCTTTGTATTTTGTGCTTTATTACTTCTATTTTAAATGCACTCTTTTGTTAGTGTTAAGAGATAAAATTAAGAATTCTAACCATTTTTTGTGACATATTTATTTTCACATCTTTACTTAATTAATAATTAAAAACAAAACACATCTTTACGTAATCAGTTACTCCCTCCGTCAATCTGTCCCAATATCATCTTCCCACTAACCAGTTGCCACTTTAGGATGTCCAAATTAATCTTCTCATTTTCCTTTTTTGGCATACCCATTTTACTTCTTTTTTTTAAAAAAAAATTCATTTTTACCCTTAATGGCCTAAATATTTACTACCTTTTACTCCAGTTTTACTAAACCCAAGAAATAGGTAGGGGCATTTAAATAATTTTTCTTTTAATCTTAATCTTCATGCAATTGTCAAATGGAAATATCATTTTGGGACCAAGAGAGTATCTCTTACCTCTTACCACTAAGCTCAGTTTTTTTGTGGGTCATCTGATTCTTCTCATATTGTATTATCTCTTCCATACAGTAACCACACATTCATCTTAGTAATGATTATTTTCTTCATTACTCACATGGTTTTTGGTAACGACCGAACACTTGAAGCCAACTTAAGTAGGATCTAACCACGGTCAAATAAATTATTTTTTCGTGTATCACACATTAGTCTTATCAAAGACCTCTAGTTTTAACCAGCCTGCATCATTTTTCTTGTAGTGAACTATATTTTTCTACTATACTATATCACACATTCATCTTAGGCTCTATTCGTTTGGGTGGTAAAAACAGAGTTAGACGTTGGAAGAAATTGGAAAAAGTTGGAAGGAACTGGAAGGAGTTGGACAAAACTAAGAGTTGGAAAATGTTGGTAAAAATAGTGTTAAAAAATCACTCAATTAAATAATCACCCAAATAAATATGTAAGAAAACTAATTTCGGATAAATAAGAATTCATCTTTGTCTGCGTTTGAGGTGGTATGTTATAAATTTGGATATATGACGTGATTATATATTCATCATATGTAAGTACTTTTTTTAGTCGTTGATGGAAGAAACTACAAGGGGTTGGATGAAACTGGAAAGAGTTGGAAGAAACTTGAAGGAGTTGGAAAAAGTTGGAAGTTAACTTTTCCAATCCAAATGAACAGAGCATTAATATACCTATCTTGGCTACACTTATTTTCTTCATTCATCATTGCCTTCTTAATAAAACTTTATATTTTATACTATCAGGCTATTAACACACATTCATCTTAATACACCCACCCTGCTTTACAAAGGAAAGTAGGGCCAGCAATACCAGAGAAATTGGTGCCCAAGAGAAGAAATTGAGAATTGGATATTACGCGATCGCGGCAAAATGCCAGTCAATTAGAAACCACTAACCAAAGGAATAAACCGGAAAGAAGGAAGACATAATTTCACAAACCACTCCACGGTAAACTGCTTGGCATTCCAGAACGTCATTCTGGATCACATCGACGACGGTCTCCTCCGAGAGAGGGAGACAGGCCTCAAAGGCCAAGATGCTCATCTTCAGGATCTGGAGGAACAAACAACTCATTTGAATTGAAATGAGTTTCATACCTATCTCTCAAACTTATTTCCTCATTATTCATGATCTTCATCTGAAAAACCAAGCAACTTGATCCAAAGGTTTGGTCTAATTTTACTACTTTATGTTTTTCCTTCAATGTTACTGACATATCACAGATTCCATCATCTCCAATGAAGCCAAAGATTCTTTTTTTAGCTTTAGTGTATGATGGAATAAAGCAAAATGGTTCTTCAAACTTGTTTGTGCTTCTTTTGATAGTTTTAAACATAGGGGTCAAGCTATGTACCTATTACATGTGGTGCTTGAGCCGAGGGTCTCTTTGGAAACGACCTTTTTTACTTTCGAGTAGGGATAAGATTTGCGTACACCCACCCTCCCCAGACCCTACTTTTGTGGGATTCAACAGGGTTGTTGTTGTTGTTGTTGTTGTTGTTGTTGTTAGTGGCATATCACGCAATACTCCTATCACTCCACTATTTCAACAAACTTGCATTGATCTTGTGTGTCTACCGTATCTTGATCATAAATCCAACATATCCTCTAGGCTCTAGTTTAACAGATCTAAAAGATATAAAATAACCACTCACAAATAGTTGTATAACATCCAAATTCACCCCAGTTTGGTACCCATCTTTAATGTTGTTAGATTTCCAATTTTACTATTCCTTTTGTGCCATAAAAAGAGTCATATTTATCAACTTTTTTTATCCCATAAAAAAAGTTCAAATCATTAACTTGTTTGAAAATATGGGTATAATGGTATATTTAGTGCTTTCAAAGAGTTGTGCCTTACTATAATTACAAAGGTGTACATTCATCAAAGTGGAGCCTTTTTATGAGACTAAGGGAGTTCAGCTTTTGAATAAAACTTGAAAATCTAGTTCATCTCTACCGTTCCAACCTAGCATTAATCCCTACTTTGAACACATTAAATAAATAATATCATTTTCAAAGAAAATAGACCGAGATACCACGTATTAGATAGATTTAATTAACACATCAATACTGGTTATGAAGGTGAAGGGGCTAAGTGTCCTTGATATGGCTCTATTGCGGTAGAAACAATTATATCTCTATTTTGAACTCATTTAATACATAATATCATTTCCAAAGAAATACATCACGATACCCCGTCTTAGATAAACTTAATTAGCACATCAATACTGATTATGAAGGTTAAGGGGCTAAGTGTCCTTGATATGGCTCTATTGTGGTATCAATATTTCTATCAAACTTCAAAGGTTATAAGATTTAGCTTATCATATGAACATGTGACACATTGACCATGCTTTAAGGTATAATAATCCTATGCTTTTAGCAGAGGCAGCACAAATGTTTTGTCTGGATGAAGGATAGAATTATAGAAATGCAATCATGTAGCATATGTAGATTTTCATTATTTGTATTGAACCTTTTAAATTTGCAGCATGAAATATTTCTAATCAATTTATTGACCCTTTTAAATAATTTTGAGAATTTCAACTTAATTAAACATTGTCCTAAGCCATGCTGGATGCATCAATACATCAAGGAAATTACAAAAAGAAACACATTAGCTCATACTAAAAGAAAGGAAAGCTTTTTGAGAGATAAAGAGCTAGTAAGCCTAGTAGTATGCACTTGCACACAGATGAGAGAGGACCTGTCAAACTTGTAGCCATGCAGTAAAGACTCCGCAAGAATAGTTTTGGTTGAAGTGGCAAGACAACCAACTAATGCAGCACAGAACCCAAATACATTAAAACTAAGCTCGGTAATAGATGTTAGGAGAATTCCTCCAACAATGGGAATCAAAGAAGCCCAGATTCTACTGTCGAAGTGTTTTCCCCATACTAGCCACTGCAAAATTACTGTATCAAACAGTGTAATTAGAAGTAACAAATGAAGAAAATATTGAAATATTAAGCCTGTACTTCTGAAAACAATGCAATTGATAAAAATAACAACAATAATCAGTAGAAAGAGTCACCTGTGGTTGCAGGGGTAAATGACTTTATGGTTTGCATAAAGGAAACAGGTATGTATCTCAAGCTAACATTCCCCAAGACAATGTTGATACAGAACACAACTGACATGGGAAAAATCCTTCTCCAGCGATCCTCACGGTCGACAACAATAAGTGGCTTAAGCTTTAAGACTTTAATTACTAAATATGCCCCAATAGCCGAGCAAATAAAGTGTGTGCAAGATACTGTGAGAGGAAACTTAAAGTCCAGCTTCTGTAACATGTTAAAATAAAGATAAAGATAAGTGCACTGCTAGAAAGGGAAGGAACAAATAACCATCACTTCAGTGTTCACACACACACACACACACACACACACACACACATATATATATATGTGTGTGTGTGTGTGAAAAACTTTATCACTAAACCAATTATAAACAATGTGATGAATTAAGTTAGTTCCACAGAAACCAGTTATAGGTGCAGATTGTTCTAAATTTTTGTCATGGTATCGAACAAAACTACAAAGAATCTACAATGGACAAAAAACGATTGAGCATGGCAGAAACTCAGATCAACAATGTGATAACTTCTCATATTAGGATATCGAGCTGACCCCTTACTCAACTACAAAGACTTTTTTTCTTAGTACATAGTCTGCAATCAATTAATATAGTTGCTTTGGTATTTTTGTCACTTGAAAATGAAATGGGAGCTTTGTTTTCCACTTAATGCTCAGAGTTATAGTTGTATTGATATCATATTCTAATCTGTTCTTTGTCTAATGTGTGGAATACTACAGTTTTCTGGTGTAAATAATATAGTTCCGGACACTAGAGCAGGGTCGATAGTGGTCCATCAAATCTGAACCCACCACCAAACTTAAATCCTCCTTGCAATTCAGTCTGGAACCCACCACCACAGCCCTAGTCAAGCATCCCCATGCATTGTCCCGAGTCACTCCAAGCCCTATTTGTTCCAATCTAACCTTATCCATGCATCTATGAATGACACTGCCACCACTTGTGTATTCCATATGCTTCATATGCCTTGCGTAGCTTTTTATGGAATCATTCAGCTGCTCACATGCCCCTGTTGACAGCCGCACACCGTTTACGGAATCATTCAGTTTTATGGTTTTTTTTCTTCTCCATTCAAATATTCAATAGCTTAAATGGCCTTTGTTTTCTCATTATTTGCAACTGTTCCTGGCTTCCTGCCATTACTACAGATGCTACCACTATCACATAAAACTGATAAAAGAGAATTGTGTGGGAGATTATGGACCCATCATTGTGTAATGTAATGTAGCAATCCTTGGATCTGATGGTTTCCATACTTTTCAATCATGCCGCACATGTAAACCGATTTAGGTAAAAGCCAAGGCAAGGTATACCAACAAATTTCAAAACTTGTTTCCTCTAGGATCCAAGATAGCCAGTCTGTAATAATAAGACTAGGATATGCAAGATTTACTTTGTATATATGAAGCTTTACTCTTTGAATGAAGTAGTACTGAACTATTAAACCTATTGAAGAAAGCAAGGAGTAACAGTTAACACAAAGGAAACAGATTGTCATGGTGATGACCTTAGCAGGTCTGTGCCCGAAATTATCTTCCATCCAAGAGCTTATTCTTCCAGTCCCACTCTTCCTAAAATGATTGACGTCTTTGCTCCAAGTCTTCGAACCACACAATAATTTCCATTGAACTCTGTTGAGACTATTCACTATTGTTCTTGCTTCACAAGGACAGGAAGGAGGCAACCAAAACAGAATCACTCACTTATGATTGTTGTCAAGAAGATAGACATACGAAGAACGTGTTGGAAAACTACATAGGAACACTCCCTGTTCCACCAACAATGCCATGTTCCATTGCCTCCAACATTAATTCCTCTAAGTGAGTATGATGCATATCACATGTTTTAAGGGATCCAATAACCTGGTGTCTCAACCTGGTTTGTCTAGATCATGAGTCTCAAACACCTACAGCTCTTGGATCATTGACTGGTGCACCTGATTATATTTCTAGTAATCCACATCTGTTGTGTAATGTTTCCAAGTCTCAAAACTCGCACTTAATCACTCTTGCAAATGGTTTCCAAACTCCGACCACCCAAAGAAGAAGAGCTCTTTCACAAAAATCCTTACTTCTAGAATCAGTCTTATTTGTCCTTCATAACCTTTTAAACCATCCCCAGATCCCACTCAGTGGGAGCACCTGGCTGCCCTTTTATTACCCTTATAACCATGAATCTGCGAGTGAAATTACTTGATGTCAATTATTCCATAACCTTTTTTGTTCATTTTGTGGTCGTTAAAGACCGTCACATGAAGAAGATTGGCCTCGGGCATGATGCCTGAATTGCAAGTACTTTGACATTTTCATCCACTAAATCTGACTACTTGTGTGACAATTAAGTAACCAAGTACTTCATATAATTGACTAAGCCACCCTAGTTTCTCTAAAATTTAATGGTGTCCCACAACAATTAATATACAATTTGCAGAAATCTTAAGTCTCTTAAACACCGAAAATAGGGGATACACATATAAACTTAGTGCATATAAACTATATGATCCAACTTGAGTGGGATGTTGAATTATGAGCTATGTATGACTCATTAATGTCATGCAAAATATTATTACATCATCTTAATATGAAATATGTATGATGTCTTATTTTACGAAAATATGTATAATGCATTTGCAATGTAGCTATGTTGACTCGGGGTTAAATTTTGTTTTATTTGCGATGTATCAATTCTTCAATTTTATATATATATATATATATATATACACACACACACACACACACATTCACACACATATAACCACACACACACAAATACATAATTTTGGTTCCAAAAAAATGAATGATCCTGTCTAAATTAATAAAAAAAACTTGAGGTAACATTTTAGAAAAATGAAACTATATGTTTTTGTTAGAACTCGATTACTAAACTGACTTATGTGCAGTACTGCAGTTGAATCATAAAACTATATTGTCTATAGTTCATTTTATTCTTTTTATTTTATTATGTCATGGGGCAACACCATAATTACATCATTGCCACGGTCATGGAAAAATCCCTCGCCACCACGACTGTGGTATACGCAATGACAACTATCGTAACAATGGTTCTGGCCATCTAAAAAATCTTAATTTTGTCTTGTGAATAAATTGCCAAAAATATTAGGGCAGATTAGTTCAAGAATAGATTTCAGTTCTGAGTTATTAACATTAAATTAGGAAATAAAATAATTGGCATAAACAATTGCAAAAAATGATTGTTTCTACACCAACTATAAACAATAAAAGCTGTCACGGACGCTAAACAGCCTAAACTTTCTCTTTAAAAAATATTTCACATTCCATTTTCTTTCACTTGTCAGTTTCCTTACTTTTTATTGGGAATTTGATGAATCCATGGGGAGTAATTTCATAGATCAAACCCAAAATTGACATCAGAAACTCAAAAATTATCAAATTGCTCAGTAATAAATGGGTACATGACATGTATATCCATATTTGATATATATGCGCGCGCGTGTGTGTGAAAAGCCCTAACAATCTTTGGATTAAATATAGAAATGAATAGTTAAAGAAAAAATCCAAGTCAACTAAATCAATAATGGAAAATTGAACATCAGAAGAACACATCAGATGATCTAATAATGGAAACATCAGAAGAAGGCGCCATAGATGGAAAACTGGGCACTGGCATACAAGCGCTAAAGTGTGTGTGAGAAAGAGACCTGAAAGATCCACTTGTTCATGATGATTACAGCGACATTGAAGAACCACCATTGAAGGATGGCGATTATGGATCGAATCATACTCCATTGCAGCATAATTTCACCCATATTTTGCTACCGATTTCTCTCATGTGAGTTGTATATACATCGGATCTTATACTTCCCACACGAAAAGAGCATGCTAGACGGACATTTCAATAGGGCCGATTGTCGTTCATGCTTACGATCACAAAGTCTTGATTTTTATTTTTATTTTTATGAGTAAGTCTCCAATTTATTTTAATTCCATTCCTCGCCTCCTGTTTGTTTTAAATTCCAAAGGGCATCCTATTTCGAATTTCCTAACTTATCTTTTTGTTTTTGTTTGGACTAAAGTCTTGTTCTTTTGGGGTTAGAATTTTACAATTAGATATTGAAAGAATTATAGGAAGTTAGATAGAAATTGGAAATAATTGAGAAATGTTAGAAGAATTAAATGTAAAAAAGCATTCAATTATATTATCAAACAAATAAATATGCAAGAATTTTCTAATTTAGGATAAAAAAGAATTCACCATTTTCTGTGTTTGAAGTGATATGTTTTAAATTTGGATATACGTAGTATAATGTTAATATATGTTCATAATATATAAATATCTTTTTTAGGTTGTTGTTAGAAGAAATTGAAAGGAGTTGGAAATAGTTAGAAATTAATTTTTTCCAATATAAAAGAGCAAGACTTAAATGATTTATTCCAAAATATAAAACTGATATAGAGTGTTTTCATAAAAAAAATGTCTAAATCCAAATTTAAATATAGAATTAAATATAAAGTCAACATGTATCAGTGATGAACTCTATGATTAATCTGACATACAACCACGATATTTGAAAGAGTTTCATTCTGAAATATGCACACTACTAGAATAGTAGAATATGTCGATTTAGCGTGTGTCAAAAATCATCACAAAAGGGTGAAAGTCTTCACAAAAGTAAGCTTTGCGTCAAACTTGCGTCGGAGTCGGGGCCGTGACTAATCTGCTCGATGTGAATTGCTAGTGTCGATCAAATCGTTCCTAATTTGCATCGGCTAACTCCTCACACGTTTTGGTCGCTTTTACCCTCTATAATTAGCATCGGTTAAATCCATAGTAATTAGTGCTCGTTATCCCCTTGCAGTTATGCAAACCGCTTTGTGTCGGTAATGTCGTTTTTAATTTACATCGACCACGCCCTCATAATATAATAACCCACGTATTTGTCTCAATGTCTTGCATGGATTAAATACTTGCTAAAGTACAAATATAAAATAATACTAGCAATGGCTTAACCTACACAAGTAATTTTTTTTAAAAAAATATTTAATATAGAATTTCTTATGAACAAAATCTTTTTTTCTAATATTTGAGACTCATTTCACAAGAGCTTGACATGTGGAGTACTCATGTGACAATTTTTTGACACATCACTATATCGTGTAATTAGGCATTAAAACTAAAATAATGATTCTGCATGTGATTAATGGTAAAGTATCTAAAATATCTAACATAGTAACCTGCAGAGATTAAAAACTCATGAAGGAAATTCATATTCTTTTACGTCTACGTGGCCTAGCATCCTCTCCTTCTTTCTACGAATTTCAATTACAATTTCCAATCGATTTCAATCTTTAAGATGCTCCATCTTTGTCATCTTCTTTCAACAGATTTGTACTGAGTATTAAAGTTTAACTTGACTTCCTTTTAATTACGCATCTCTACCAACTTTTTCATTCATCTGTAGAAAACTTTTAATGTCGTTTTAGACGATGGCTGAATTTCAGACCGTGAATGAGAAGAGCACAAACTTGGTATGGTCATATCTTTGATTGATTTTTTTATTCAATTCTTACAACCTAAAATTAAAGTTACCAATTTTATAATAAAAAATTCATTCTAGAAATTCTTGCCTTAGTTAAAATTAATGATATCTTGTCGTCTCACCACGAAATATTAATTTCTCTTTTTAGAAAATGTATTTATTGCCTTAATGACTTTTTTTATGCCTTAATTAAAATATAACAAATTTTTACTGCTTTGTAGGTTAACATGTTTATTACTATTACTTGAGTAATTTTGCTTTAAAGTCTCTAATGATAAAATATAATTCAGAATAATATAATTTAAAATATAATCCTAATGTAAAGTTAAAATATTTGTATATTTATGGTTAATTTTAGTAAAATTTCATTCTTTATTTATTATGTACAACTAAAAATAATGCTTAAAATCTTTCAATTAAAGTCGTGTGTTTAAAAATACTAATATTTTTACCCGTGCCATGCACGAGGTCAAACAAAATTTTTGTCCATTTTAAAAATTTTCAATGTAAAATACTCTTCGGAATCAAGTAAATATATTTCTAACACAATTTTTAATAAATGGACAACAACACCAAAAAATAAATAATATTTGAGAAATTGAAAGTATACTCAAAAAAGTCTTTTTTAATTCCAAATCTTATGAAAGACACAACATTTTTGGTATAGTTATAAGAGTTTCCATTATTATTTAGAACTAATATTTTTAATCATGTCTTTGCATTCACTCGTGAAACAGTAACATAAAATTGATTATGATTAAATATCGAATTAGTTAAAAATAATACCACAAAAGACAATATTTAACCTTGACTTCTGTTAATAGTCATAGCAAAACATAAGACTATTGAGAATTGTCTTCTCTAAAACTTTAAGAGTAGTCCTGAATCAGATGATACCAAATTGATTTGGGCTATGTAAACTTTTTTCTTGACTTGATTTCCCGAAATCGCAATTCCACTTATAATGTTCTTTCATAACTCTTCAGCGATTAAGACACAATTCAGATTGTTGGTCCATGTTCTCAATGACATAATTTGTACCCCCTTTTTATTTTGTGGTTTGGGATCCCCAAATATTTAATTTTGTTAAAAAAACTCAACTATTATCCAATTGTTTTCAACACCTACATCTGAATCTGCTTGGCATGAAGAAACAGAAATTAAGTATTGATTGTCACCTCCAAAAAACGGGATAGGACAAATTCATTTACCATCTAACAACCTCCAACGTGGGTGCCAATAGTGTACTATTTTCAAAAAAAAAAGAATAATTTTTTTATGTTCTCTAATAGGTTTAGATAAGTGAAGTCCACTATACTCTCGAGGATATATTTTTGTCAAAAATATAAAATTCAAGCGGGATTTCAACCTTAGCAGTTCCATCAATCACTTGTCTAACCTTTCCATTGTTACTTTGATTATCCAATCAGAAAAAGCTTGTGTGCCCCTATTTGTGCAAGAGGGCGTAGATAAATATAATCTCATATTCTTGGTCAACGTATAGACTTTACAATATTCTTGGCGGTAGCACCTACAATATTCTCTCTCAAAACTTTGAGTAAAACTTAGAGAATTTGGAAAAAAACCACTTGCAAGTACAATTGTTTTCCCTTTTTCTATGAACAAAATCCTTTTTTATAATATTTGAGACTCATTTCACAAGAGCTTGACATGTGGAGTACTCATGTGACAATTTTTTGACACATCACTATGTCCTGTAATTAGGCATTAAAACTAAAATAATGATTGTGCATTTGATTAATGGTAAAGTATCTGAAATATCTAACATAGTAACCTGCAGAGATTAAAAACTCATGAAGGCAATTCATATTCTTTTACGTCTACGTGGCCTAGCATCCTCTCCTTCTTTCTATGCATTTCAATTACAATTTTCAATCGATTTCAAGCTTTAAGATGCTCCATTTTTGTCATCTTCTTTAATTTCTACAGATTTTTAATGAGTATTAAAATTTAGATTGATTTTATTTTAATTACGCATCTCTACCAACTTTTTCATTCATCTGTAGAAAACTTTTAATGTCTTTTTAGACAATGGCTGAATTTCACACCGTGAATGAGAAGAGCACAAACATGGTATGGTCATATCTTTGATTAACTTTTTTATTCAATTCTTACAACCTAAATTTAAAGTTACCAATTTTATAATAAAAATTTCATTCTAGAAATTCTTGCCTTAGTTAAGATCTCACCACAAAATAATAATATCTCTTCTTAGAAAATGTATTTATTAAAATTTAAATATTTGCCTTAGTGACTTTTTTTATGTCTTAATTAAAATATAACAAATTTTTACTGCTTTGTAGATTAACATGTTTTTTACTATTACTTGAGTAATGTTTCTTAAAAGTGTCTAATGATAAAATATAATTTAGAATTAAATAGTTTAAATTATAATTCTAAAGTAAAGTTAAAATATTTGTATATTTATAGTTAATTTTAGAAAAATTTTATTCTTCATTTATTATTTACAACTAAAATTAATGCTTAAAATCTTTCAATTAAAGTCGTGTGTTTAAAAATATTATTTTCTTACTAAAATTTCCTTATATATTATTGAGAGTGATAATAAACAATATTCATCTTAAAATATTCTTTATACACACACACACAAACACAGATATATATATATATATATATATATATATATATATATATATATATATATATATATATATATATCATCAGAAAAAGATGATATTTTCTAGTGAGGGAGAGAGAAAGCTGCCGGTTTCCGGCAAGCCGATGAAACTATTCTCTGACCTATTCAAAACGGCTGATGACGAGGGAGCCATCTCTTCCACCAGTAAGGGTAAACCTCTGGTCACCTTTAACACAGAGGACATAAGGAGGCCGGATTGGTGACTCCTATCCATTCTCCATTAAAGCCAGGTTTGCTAAGGACTTGCAGGTTGCAGACATCGGTAAATCCTTGGAGAGGGGAGGGTTTTCTGGACTCCGTGTTATCTCCATTAGCAGGTTCACTGTAGTTATCATCCTCAAAACACAAACTGACTTCCTTAGGCTATTATCTAGAAGGACGTGGAGAGCAAATGGTCACCAGATGTATCTCTCAAAATGAGATCCTCTTTTAGAGGATAAACGTGACAGCCCTTTGGCTCTCGTCTGGGTCACGCTCAAGCACATCCCCTTCTTCCTTACTAACGCCCAATCCCTATTCTCTATTGTGAAAACTCTGGGGAAACCAATTCAAATGGATGAGACCACAGCGAGGGGTGGATATTTCAATTCTGCTAGAGTTCTGGTGGAGATGGACGCGTCCAAACCCAAACAACCTGCCATTCTGGTACGTAATCCTGCATTGGAACGTGAAATTCAACTCGCTTATGACCTTCCTTCTTACTGCATAACTTGTGGACGCTGGGGTCACTGCTGCAAAAAATCCCAACCCGTCGGAAAAGTCCTCACTGGCGGGGCAACCTTGGTAAGGCAGCAAGCTGATAAGGAGATCAAGCCAAATAACACACATCAGTGGGTCTGTATTCAGAGGAAAGGAAAGGCACCAGCTCATAATGTGATGGCAGGCATCCAGCACACTCAGGCTAATGGGCAAACGAACAAAGCCAAGCAATGCTCAGACATTCCGGGCCCTTCCAAGTTGGGGTACACAGAGCAAAACAGGCCCAATTTACATATGCATAATGCTAGTGGATCCCCAAAAAGCCCAAGTGTCTCACCCAAACTTGAAGCTGGGCCAACTACCGGCCCATTGGTGCACAGTCTCTCCTCAACAGGCCTATCCAGCCCATCTAAACTAAATACTACCAAGGCCTCTTTTTGCAAACAGGTAGGAGCTAATAATGAACACTCCTCTCCTTTGAACTACCTGGCACTTCTCTCCACCGTTGAGGACATTGACACCCCAGGTACCCCTACATGCATTCACTCTGATGAGGAAGGTGAGAGGGCTCAGGATAAGAGTCCTCTTCTTGCCCTGGAGAACAATTTTTCTCAGGCTAATATCAATGCAGTCCCTTTCATGAAGGGTAGAGGTCTCAAGACCCCTTTGCCACCTCTTAGCATGTATTTGAGGAACAGAACTACAACTAAACCCAAATCACTTTGATGTTTTTGCTCTTTTGGAATGCTAGAGGAATAAAGAAGTCTTCCACTAGACTTCAAACCCTTTCTTCTTCTCATAATCTCTCTTTTATTGCTATTATAGAACCCCTGCTAGATAATAACCAGTTGGAGGATTATAAGCATATGTTGGGTATGACCAATGCATCCAACCATCTGAATAATCAACTATGGATATTCTGGAAGGAACCAAGTCTAATTCTGATCCAAACAGTTGAATGCCCCCAAATCATACACTGCCAATTCACCTCAGCTGCAATGCATGGCCCATTGTGGATTTCTTCTGTCTATGGCAGGCACACCAGGGCTGAAAGAACTGCATTATGGAATGCCATATCATCTAGGGCCCCTAGCATACATCCATGGATCATTGGAGGAGATTTTAACTGCATCCACAGCCTTGACCAACACAAAGGGAACTGCAATCCTTGCAATAACTCAGTGGAGGATTTTAGAGAATGCATGGAAGCTGGCAATCTCCTTTACATTCATCCTTGAGGAGGACATTTTTCTTGGAGTGGGAAACGAAGCAATGGGAAGCTTTGGCGCAGACTGGACCATGTTTTTAGCAACCAACAGATGCTGGATAGGACTAGCAGTCTACAACTCTCTATGCTTAGTAAGGGAGCATCAGATCACATGCCTTTTCTCCTAGAACTCTCTTTGGATACTTATTCTGGTCCCAAACCCTTCCAGTTCTTGGACTTGTGGGTTTCACACCACACTTTAGAAGGCACCATCAGATCTTTTTGGCAGAGCAATAAAACCTACAATGGAATGAAAGGCCTTGGGAGAAAACTCAAGGATCTCAAGGCCATTTTGTCCAAATGGAGCAAGGAGGAGTTTGGTAACATCTTCCAGCAACTTAAGGAGGCAGAATCTAGAGCAAGCAGGGCACAAGACCATTTTGAGGCAAACCCAAACCCGGAATCTTTGGTTGAATTTAACAAGGCCAATGCTGAATTACTCTTATTTTCCAAAAGAGAAACTGACTTTTGGAGGCAGAAGTCTTGCATCAGATGGTTAAAAGAGGGGGATGCAAGCACAAAATTCTTTCATAATGTGGTTAAAAATAGGCGCCAGAAGCTTAGGATCTCCTCCATCAAGGATGATCTTGGCCTGAACATCGAGGGGGACAGTAACATTGCTTCACACGCAATTGATTACTACACCAAGATCTACTCTGAAGAATCCGTCAGTATTAACCTAGAACTGCTCTCATATATTCCTAAGAACATTAATGAAGGGGATAACCAAATGCTTTGTGCTGTTCCACAAGAGGAGAAAATAAGGGGGGCCATCTAGGACCTCAACTCCCATAGTGCACCAGGCCCAGATGGATACACTGGGACTTTTTTCAAAACCTTCTGGCACATAGTCCATGAAGAAGTGACTAGAGCAACCCAAGAGTTCTTCCTAGGCCTGCCCATTCCTAAATCCTATGGGGCCACTCTCCTCACTCTGATTCCTAAGATGGACAACCCTAAATCTTTGGGAGATTACAGGCCAATCTCACTGTCCACTTTCCTCTCAAAAATCAACACTAAGATACTAACCAATAGACTGGGTGCACTACTTCACAAACTCATCAGCCCTGAGCAAAGTGGGTTTCAACCAGGTAAAGGAGTGGAAGAAAACATCCTCCTTACCCAGGAGATGATCCACTGCCTTGACAACCCGTCTGGAAGTGCCAACATTGCTATTAAAGTGGACTTTGCAAAAGCGTTCGACAAAATTTCTTGGCAGTTCTTAGAGGTTACTCTAAACTCCTTTGGCTTTTCCTCACAGTCCTGCCACCTTCTCCTATCCACACTCAAGGCCACCCATTTCTCCATTCTCATTAATGGATCTCCTCATGGGTTTTTCAAAATGAAGAGAGGGGTTAAGCAAGGTGACCCTCTCTCCCCACTTCTCTTCATACTTGGAAATGAGGGTTTAAGTAGAATAATTAAGGGGAAGGTTGAGGAGGGTTACCTTAAAGCCATCCAAACAAGGAGAAACCAACCCCCCTCCCACCTTGCATATGCAGATGACATAATATTTTTCCTAAATGGCCATTTCAGAAACCTGATCAGATTCAAAGGGATTATTGACTGCTTTCTCAATTCATCAGGACACATGATCAATCTCAACAAAAGTCACTTCTACACTGGTCCAAGAGTGAAGCCAGAAATCAAAGCTAACATGCAAAGGGCACTTCAAATGGGAGAGGGCAAATTACCTCTAAATTACTTAGGGGCAACCATTGGAAAAGGTAAACTAAGGAAGGAGGATTGCAAGAAAATTGTCCAACACTTTGATGCCTATCTTAACACTTGGTATAGCAAGGTGCTAAAACAAATGGGGCGTTTGATTCTCATTAAGCATGTCCTCAGTTCTATACCTTTACACATTGTTGCTGTCCAGCAAATGCCCAAATCTATTCACAACATGTTGAACAAGAAGATGCAGAACTTTCTATGGGGATACAAAGAGGGAAGGCCTAAATATCATTGGGTATCTTGGAGAGGACTATGCTTCCCAAAACATGAGGGAGGTCTGGGCATTAGACACCTGGAAGATGTAGAAGCAGCATACTCAGCCAAACTTTGGTGGAAGATTAGGAACTCCCATGGCATTTGGGGAGAATACATGAGGAGTAGATACCTAGATTCTTTTAAAGAACGTCCTAAGGACACTGTGAGGGAGATCCATTCACCACCAAGGAATAGAATATATTTATATATATAAATATATATATTAATAAAATAAGTTTTATTAAACAGAAAGGAAAAGTACAAAGTGGGTGGCCTAGAGTCCCAACAGAACGGCCAAATGAAAGCAACCAAACAAAAGCATAAAATGAGAAACAACCAACAGCAAACAAAAAAGAGTAAAACCAAAGAGAGCTCTTCCATCCTCTTACTGTATGTAACTTGCTGGGCCCATCCCTAGACAATTGGTGTATTAGTCTTGCTGGACATTGAAAGACCCCATGTGTGATTACTCTTGCTGCTAATGTCCCTCAAGCACAGGATCAATATTAGTTGAAATTGAGGTTGTACTCCTAATGCCTCATCTTGAGCTATATTGGTATCCGAGACCTGGAAATTGAACGCCTTAATTTCAATGGAAATTGAAATGGTCGAATCTCTTTGGAATGGCCCAAGATATATTGTTGTTGATTTCCACCCAGCAGATCTGTACTCCCTCCAACCGCTTCTCCAACCCTTCGATTGGAATCTCTTCTCCCTCCACTGGTTCCACCATCTTCCTTGGAGCGTTTTGCAATCAGAATCGCGTCTAATCTGGTAATCATCATTGAAATATTGTGATCGCCACCCAACGGGAAAGCTCCCCCTTCTCTTTAACCATGGAACACTGAAGGGGATGCCTGCCCAAAAATATTATGCAAGTGGCTAAACTTCAATCAAAAGAAGACACAGATGCAGCAGTAGCAGCTTATAATTCCCAGCCAAGGAGGTCCAGTTGTGCCAACCCATAACAAAAGTGCCTTTTCCCTCATTGTTTTAGAGAAAAGTAGCTCCCCTGCCATTCTTGTCTCTGTCCAACTTGTGTTGATACAAATACATGTGTGTTGGTGACATCCATGCAAAGAAAATAAGCAATAAGCAGTGAAGAAGAGACAGCTTCTACAAAAACCAGGTAGGCCAGGATACTAACTGCCACCAATGCTATGCCAATAGTCCATTGCTGTGACTGAAAAATCAGTGCTTCTTCAGAGCCAAGCAGATCAGCGCAACTGGGACTAATGCACTGTCAATATGTCTTAACTTCAAGTTACAGAATATCAATTTAAAGCAAGATCTGGCAGCCAAAGTGGTTCTGGTATCTTCAAGTTACTGAACAAAGTTTTTGGGATGCTACATACTTTCAAAGGGCACCCATGATTAGGCAATCAAGATATTCAAAAGAACGACCCATAAAAAAGGAGTGCAGCAAATATGAAAGCCAACTAATTAAAATATAACCTAAAAAGAATCTTCAAAAAAACTTGAAGGAATCATTGCATAGTCTTCTTCTTCTTCTTTTGAGCTTTTGTACGCTGCCTCCCTTTCTTTTTTGTTTTAGGGGCTTGGAGAGAAAAGTCTAACTGTTTTTGACCTTTAATAGGTAGGCAGATATTATCTAGAGCACCTTCAAATTCACAAGCAAAATTATCATCAGATTCCGATACATACCTGCCCGAAGGGAGAATGCTATTACACGAGGCAAGAACCTTGGCTTTACTACGTGTAACAATCTGCGAAGGAGAGAAGAGTTTCCTTCGTTTAAAGACTTTTGGTAAATCCATAGAGATTTTCGAGCATCTAGAAAGATCGATTGCTAAAGGCCTTAATTTTGACACAAAGAAAGGGGCATCTTCAACATCCGAATGATTGTACCAAATGGGTTCGTCACTTGGGGACATTCTCTCTTCAAGAGCATTAAAATGAAGAACCAAACTTTTCTCATTGATGTGTTTGAAAGGATCTTCCTCCATAATCAAAACGTTTTCTTTTATTCCAAGATGCGAAAGACTGCTAAAAGAGTTGGATTGGGGGATAAATTCCTTTGCAAAGGGGGAAAGGAGCTTATGGACTTGACCATGCCTACCTGCTACATCATCCATTCCCTTCAAGGAATCAATATAACCACCCTCGGTCACCATGGAGCAGCAAGAAATGTCAAATTTCCCTAGACTCTCAACAGATTCTAGCTTTCCGATTGCCACTGTGACAGTTCCTTCAACAAATTGGGTCTCTTCCGGAACAATGTCCTTGTCTCCTTGGGAGACATTGCTGCACAAACCAGTTCCAAGAGAAAGATTTCCACAAATACTATCTCCCTCATTTTCTGCAACCCTCTCGACTGATCCAGAGAGGGAGTCCTCTACAAACTCTGGACTTACGGCTCCTAAAGGTGCGGGATGGGGAGGGCTATGTGAGAGGTGTTCTGAAGATTCTAAGATCGGGAATAGAGAAGGAACTGGACCTTGAAGGGCAGTGTATGCAGTCTTATCTGGTGGCCTAGGAACTTCAATCTTAGTGACCTTGTCAAAGAAGAATGATAAAGTTTTGTAAAACAAATTAATTTCATCATTCCTAAGACCAAAGGGGATTATAATGAAACACTTTCCTTCTCTTCTTTTCTCTTGAATTTTAACGAAATCCCCCCTTCTATTTGTTCGAGCAGAGACTTCAACTGTACGAGACTTACCGAATGAGAAAACAGCCCAAGATCTATTAACTGTGATTCTAGGAATAGATTCCAACAACCAACGTATTGCATCCAAATCAAACCAAATCTAGAATCTTTTGTACCCACACTCACTGATGCAAATGTTTTGATTGTAATGGGAGTGAAATAGTTCAAATACCTTTGATTGAGTTTTGAAGGAGAAGGTGGAGTTGCAACTTAGAAGGTTTATAGCTGGTCTTCCACCTTCTTGGAGCAGGCGTGTGCTGGTGAGGACGTAGGAGTTCTTCAAGTTTCTCGAATTTGGAGATTTGAATGGCCATCTTCTCCGCCGATTCAAATGATGGATGATTTTCCGGGAATTAGAATAAAATTCTTCTCTTCCACGAGATTGTGAAGAAAGTCAGCGTCCTGCGCAATTGGAGCAGCGCCAAGGGTTTCCACTGGAGCTGGAATGTGTGGCTGTGCTATCACACTGCCGTCGCCATTTAGAAATTATGCTCCACCGCCTGCTCTGGCTTCTCTCTAGAAACTCCATACTACGATATATATATATATATATATATATATATATATATATATATATATGGGATTGACTCCAGTGAGATGACACCTTACGGTGAGATGACATGCTTCGGTCAGATGACACAAAGCTCACCACTGGTCACTGCAAAGCTCACCAAAGACAACTACAAAGCTCACCAAAGTGTAATGCAAAGCTCACCATATTTTTTCAACACTTTGAATTTTTTTCCAAAAAAAATCAAAGGAAAGGGTGCTGACTGGACTTTGACTGTTGACTGCCAGCATTGACCGCCGCCTGCCACCGGTCGCCGCCGGCCTCCGCCGGTTGCCGGTCGCCGTCGCCGGACTCCGACCGCCGCCGCCGGGCTCCGCCGCCCTAGACCGGTGGTTGACCGGTGTTGTTATTTTATTTTTAATTAATTTTTTAATTTTTAAAATTTAAAAATAAGGTGGGTTTTGGAGTTCAAAGTGGTGAGCTTTGCTTTATTTCCAGATGAGCTTTGCATTGTCTATTGGTGAGCTTTGTAGTGTAGTGTGGTGAGCTTTGCTTTATTAGCCTTTTTTTTAAAAAAAAAGTGGTGAGCTTTGCATTGTTCCTTGGTGAGCTTTCTATTGACAGTTGGCGAGCTTTACATTGATAGTTGGTGAGCTTTACACTTTGACCGCCCATGACCTATGGCCACCACCGATGACCCCCACTATTGCCGTGGACCGGTGGTTGAGCGGTGGTTGAGTGGTGGCTAAGTGGTGGTGTTATTTTTTTAACTTTTTTATTTAAAAAAAGTGGTGAGCTTTGCATTGACAGTTGGTGAGCTTTGCATTGGTAGTTGGTGAGCTTTGCATTGACAGTTGGTGAGCTTTCCATTGGCAGTGTTGTGTGTTGTGTCATCTCATTGAAGCATGTCATCTTACCATAAGGTGTCATCTTACCATAAGGTGTCATCTCACTGGAGTCAATCCCTATATATATATATATATATATATATATATATATATATATATATATATATATATATATATATATATAAAATTTGAGAGTTGACCTCTTAGATTGTTGGCACTTGACACTGCTTAGGTGTAATTTTTTGCATGTCATTTATGACTTGTAAATAAAGAAAATACTTAAGCTCTTCTCATTCACTGATGAGCCAAATCAGTCAATGCTCAATTTCGACAATGCTCGATTCAGAATCCAATTTCGATACAATCTAATTAAGAAAATAATTCAACTCTCCATTCGACCTCGTGCTCGCACGGGTAAAAATACCAGTTAGAGATATAATGAGGTTTCATCTGTAACTCTTGTAATCCTCATTTTGTACTAGTTGCAGTGACCTTTTCTTTAGTTATTTAAAGGCTCGTTGAAGCTCCCACTAAGCTTCAACTCATTAGTCACAACCCGTGACTCGTTCTCTTTCTCTGCAAGCTCTGAGTGTGACACATCTATCGCTCTCGTGGCTTCTAAGACAAAATGAGAACTTACATTCTCCAAACCAAGAAAATAGTTAACAGGAGAAACTTTCAACGCCGGAATACTAGTTTTCCTAACTCACTGTCGGATTGGGACTGAAGCACGACATGTGCTCCCACTGTCACAAAATTCCCTGACCGGTTGAACCTTCCGAGCTAGTTCATCCTGAATCTGTACTCTTTCTCTGAGTCCTTTGCAAAGGTGACCCTCTTAAGTACACGAGATTCTTTGAACCGGGCCCTTTCTTTTACCAGAACTAGACTTGCTCCTTCTGGAAGTATCTCGACCATATAAAACAACCCCCTTTTCTTGCCACGAGCAGCAACAAGATTTCCTTTGACCACCTTCCACTGTTCACCACCAAATTTAACATCAAGACCCGAATCATCCAAATGCCCAACTGAGATAAGCATCCTCTTCAAGCTTGGAATGACTTTGACGTTTTTCAAAGTCCAAGTGGCTCCAACTGAAGTTTCAAGTCAATATCCCCCCATGCCCGTAACATCCAGAAT